TTATGATGTAGCCAAAGACTTCTCAATTATTGTTTTTAAATTGTCCTCTGTTATTACTCTTTCCTAACAATGAGTTTAGGCTCTGAGTGTAGCCTTTAACCTTTAGCTGTTTTTGACTATTTAATTTTAAAAAATAAACATATTTTCAACTAACAAACTTTGTCATATGTTAGCGGAGGGGCTGCTAACCACAATCAAATCACTGCCTTATATTATTATGATTATATAATCTTGTTTGTTAACGTTTGCTGTTACAGTTTGCTAAACTAGCATTTTAAACATTAAAGTTCAAACTCGAACAGTAACTTTGATCTACCTTTTACCTGCCTTCAATTTTCTGCATTAACTCTTAGTATTAGATTAAGTTTGTTTTTTTATAAATGCTAAATTCACAGCCATTCCTGGTGTAACTGTTGGCCACCTGTTAGCCAGATTTCTCCTAGCTTACGTTATCATTGTACACGCTTCAGCATTTCACAGCAACATTATTACAGGGTATGAAATGTTCTACAGATTTATTTAAAACAACCATATATTTTAAATGTGTGCTTTGTTGCTATCTGTGGTATTTGGCTAAAGTTGAGCAACTTCTGCCCTTTTTAGTTAGTGCTGCACAAATCCACTGGTTTGAACAAAGGCCATTTGTATGTCACTTAATTACAGTCTTTAGTGTTACGGGAAGGGCCGTCTGCCCTTTGTGTATTTTACATTATTGAATCTGTTTCTATTTAAAGTGTTGCCCTGATTCCACACAACGTGAGCCAGTGGGAATGTGGAATAAGGAGCAGGGGTAATTTGGGCTCCCACACTAATGTTTAAGCCACTAATGGGATAATCAGTGTCTGACCATAAGTAAATAAACCATCACTTCACAGCATGGAGCTGTGTCTGTGTGATGTGAGTGAAAGGCAAACACAGCCTGAACAAACGCCGGTTTTGAAATCCTCCTATTTTTTTCCTTCCGCAGTGTTACATCATAAATGTGTCACTTCCCTTGTAATTTCCTACAGAGAAACTGAAAAATAATTGCCACAATTTCTGATGACACTCTCTGTAAAAACCATGTAACGTGGAACCAATTACCGGGAAAGTGGAAACAGCGTTCAGTTGGCACACTCAAAATAAATTCTACATCAAAGACGGCGTTAATTCCGTTTGCCAAAATGTGCGTAAATTCTGGATTAAAAGTTACATCAACGTGATACCACTTCAAGTCAGCTGCTTAATGAATGTGCCGCTGGAATGGACCGTTTATTTTCCATAAATGCCTTGGGTTGATAAGTTCCTGCACAATCGAATTCATCTGGGAACGGCGACAGACACACTGGATGGCGCCATATCGTGCGCTGCGTTGTATTTCAAATTTACGAGTGGCTGCTCACGTGTTCTCGGACAAATGTTTATTTTTTATTTTTTTCCCATTAAATCCATTTCCTCAGAAGCCTCCTCGGAGGGTAATTGAAAAGCCGCGGGCACATGGAGAAGTGAAATGTCATCCTCTACCCACTGTACTTTAAATACTCGCTGTTTATATTTGTTCTTTGAAGGACTGGGCTCCGCATCATCATTTTACGAGAAGTTAGAAGAGTAAACAGGCAGTGTGATCAGCTTAGCACCGGGCACTGTGCCACGAAAGAACCAAATCAAGGGGAGAGAGGAGCTGAGAGAGGATTACGCTGATTGAGCCGACTGTCCCACGGGAAGAAGGATGAGAGCAGGTTTGAGGAGGAAAGACTTAAGCAGTAGATCCTGGTATTACTGCTGGATCCTCTAGTCATCCAGGAGGAACTGTTCTCACTCGTGCCATTGGCAAGTCCACAAGTTTCAACCAGATGATATACTTCCAAAAAGGTGTCCGATTTTAAACTCTCCAACAGCTTTGACAAGTTCTGTCATTGCATCGTTGTCAAGTGTTTATCTGGGTTACATTTGTTTCACCAGATTATTCAGCCCTCACTGATGAACCACCATCACCAAACTGGATTTAAGTCATTAAAAAGGGAAAGAAAGACAACCTGCAGAATTACAAAAAAATCTGGAGGTAAAAATGGAAGCACTGGGAAAGAAAAGAAGAAATAAAATGAACACTGTAGAAAAGAGAAAGGAAGGGAGAAAGGAAAGATGTTGTCACTTCCATGTCACTCCTCTGCGTTGGTGTGAAGTGAGCTGCTAAAAGACATAGATGACCTACATTTTCTCAGAGAGACACTCCAGCAGTGAGGCCTCCCCGAATTCAGAGAAACAGAGACAGAAAAATTTGGAGGCAGAGAGAAGACAAAGAGAGAGAGAGAGAGATGGTCTCGGGAGAAGGAAGAGAGGCGGTGCATATGTGAAACAGACGAGACGTGAATATAGACAGAAGGAGAGAAAAGAAGAAAAGGAGAAAAGTTTGGATGGTTCTCCTCCTCCACTCCTCCCTCCTTCCCTCTGGAGCAGTTACATAAAACACATCTAATATTCTTTTGTGTGCACAAATCAAAGAGTCGGCAGCGCTACACCAACTGCATATGCAATGAACGCAGGGAACAGCAAAGGTGGTGTATCTGCGTGTGTGTGTGTGTGTGTGTGTGTAATTGTTACCTCCTCTGACCTTTCCAGTAAAACAACTTGACTACAATTTATCCACAGTAAACCAAAGACCTGGTCCTGATGATGCAGCGTTTTACAGAAGATGTGAACAGTGGCTCAGAGTATGACTGACCACAGCAGGTCACGTTAACTGTAAGGCTACTGTTAGCCTGAGCTATTTATGTATATTCACATGGAGTCACACACACATACATACATACATACACTCACATACACACATATATACATATACACACATTCATTTTAAACCACATTTTGATGATTCACCATATTTAGAAAACTCACCTGTCACACACTTGAATTTAAATGGCCTTCTGGATTTTCTTCTTGGAGCTCTACTGGCAGCTCAGCAACCCTGGAGTAGCTTTACTGCCACCTACAGGGTTTAGTATAAAAAGAAAAAAAACAAAAAAAAAACAAAATACAGAGCCATGTCAGTACAACTATGTATATTGCTACGCTGAATAAAAGGGAGGAGGTCAAATAATATCTACTACTACATGCAAATAATATCAAATCCTGTCATCTATGGTCTCATACAAGACAAGAAAATACAGCCATCACAGTCAGACCTTAATCGGTAGAGATTATTTAAAATAATTTGGGATTATCACTGCACAGAAATATACATCAGTTCATTATCTAGGTTTATATATAATAAGTTAAAAAAGCAGAAGCAGCAACAGGAAAATTCTCTTTCAACATCAGAAATTGATTTTGCAGCATTTTTCACATTCACTGATCTGTGAAAAGTAAAAAAGATAAAACAAAATAAAATAAAATAATAATAAAGAATGAATACGCGAACTAAAGAATAACGTTCCTATAAACCTGGCCAATAACCGCAGCACATTAAGCACCTGAATATATGTACAATACTGCCATCTGCTGGTAAAAAAAAAAGAAGAATTTTAATCGAAAAAAGATTCCCTGCCTGAACACAACAAAATTAGATTGACTATTAAAAATAAGCTTTAAAAAATATCGGGATAAAAATCAATTAAGGGAACAGAATCGAAAGAATGTTACGGTTAAATCACTTAAAATATTATTTAATAAAAAAAAATATAACTTTTTTTTTTATTTGGTTTAAAACTCAAAAAACAACCAGAGTGATATAGATTTAAAAACTTCTGTTAAGGAAACTTTATTGCCAGTAAAAGGCAAAGATGATGAGGGTTCACAAATAATAAACAGTATTAAGACATAATTTAAATATATCTGTAAAATAACATTAAAAAATTAATACAATACAAATATACTTCCAAGATGACTAAGAGATCTGTCTGCATCAAAAACAACATTTTAGAGGCACAACTTTAAAAGAAAGAAAGAAAGAAAGAAAGACAGAAAGTCATATCCTAGATAAGTCACGTAGGCCTAATAATAGCATTGCTAAAGCAACAAACCCACGAAGCACAATTTAGCCACAGCTGCGACATTATGCACGTTAAAATGCATTTTACTTACCAAAACTTCTGATTAGTTGTACACAAAATCCATCCTCCTCTCTGCTGTGAAGTCACTTTCTTTTGCCATTCCTTCTACCGTTGAAAGTCCAGTCTGTCCTGTCACAGTTGACGCAGAGAAAACTTAATTTTCGAACTAGCAAGTCGCTATGAAGTAGATGAAGTTCGCCAGAATGGTGATTGTGCGTTGTCTCACCATCCAATCAAATCACTCAAAACGCCAAGGTAACAACAAGAAAGCCTTGCTACACCACCGCGATGCTAACTACAAATCTGATTGGTTAACGAAACAATCTTATTGCCAATCGTTTTAAGCGATTCTGTAGGTCTTCGGGCAGATTTCTCACCCTGGCAACACACCATGTTGAAATATCATTGGATAAAATGCGGATTTATTTGACTGGAAGAGGCACAAACAAGACGAAGAATGAATAGAACAGAATACTCAGAATTATTATTTTCTAATAATTCATGGTAAATATATTGAAAAATAAATATGTAATCAAACATGTACTTTTTGTTGTGTCAGTGGTGAAATAAACCAGGTGTGTGTTTATTTAATGGACCTGATAAAAGCATGAGGAGGCATTTAAAACTATATATAAAAACTTTAATAATGTCAGTACAGTTCTCAGTATACATGCAGTGGAAGAATCAGTCAAAAGTATGTTTTTGTTACGCTAAGAATGACACATACAATTAACAGCAGGTTACAACATAACATAATTCACCACAGTTTTTTTTAATTTAATTTTGTTCTTTTCTATTCAACGGTATTTATCAAGTCATATCACGGTCTATTGTATATGAACAGATATTATTCAATGTTTATATTCAAATTTACTTCTTCGCTGTTGTGTTAATATCAAAAAGGTTCCACATGCCGAAAACTGAGAGCCCAATTTAAATGACACTACGAAAAATTTGGGGTTTTTTTGTTTGTTTTTTGAGAATAATAAATGTTTCATTAAGCTAACTGGATGATCCAGTCCATGTCTGTCCAGAGTTTGAAATGTTTCTACAGGTCAGAAGAAGTATAAAGAAGCTACAAAAAGTAAAAAAGAATCTGAGATTAGTGTAAATATAAAAGTAAAAATCCTTAAAATCTGGTTGCAGCATGTAGGCCAGAAATGCTGCGAAAACGGAATGTTGTCTTTATCTTAGAAGTAAATGTGTTTCTTCATGCATTTTGTCAGAGTAAAAACAAAAGGCTGCTGTAAATGAGAGGAAACAGTTGAGTTCATAAAATCATCAAATATTTCACTTCATCTTCTTTTTTCTTCTATCCCATACACACAGATAGGTAAAAGGAGACAAAATAATTTCAGAAACTATTTAGGGTTTTATCGGCATTTACCGATGGTGACTTCATCATCCCCAGAGCCAATCAAATCACACGCCAATCCTCAGGGTGGATTTTCCACTGCAGCAGGTGATATAATCAGCTGACTTTAAAACAAAGGAGGCGTAAGAGATTGCGAAAGTGAATGTGAGTTTTTATCAAAGACAAACATGACAACAGTCTGCCTTATCATCATCCGCCTTTGCTGACCTCCATCTGCCTTCATCAGGATTACATTCACAGACACAGTAGCTCCAGCCCTCACTGATGCCACACAGACTGACAGTTGTCTCTGTCACACCATGAACATCTTACTGCTGACGTATTTGCCCCCCCTTTGCTTGTGTCCAAGGCTGGAGGCCTTGGAGTTGCTCCTCATCGACCCTCCCTTCAGTCTCACGGTGCTGGGTGCGTTCTCAGCCAGAATGGCTCCTTTCTCCTGCCCTTCTTCATCCTGCTTGATGTTGTGGAGGGCCTGGCTGTGCTGGAGGTGCTCCGGGATGGGATGCCAGCTACCGCAAAACCACTTGATGGAGTGGTAGAAAAGCTCGATGCAGCTGGAAAAGGCTGCTATTGCACCAATGATGAAGTAGAAGCAGAGGAAGATGGTTTTCTCCGCGGGGCGGGAGGTGAAGCAGTCCACTGTGTAGGGACAAGGAAAGCGGCTGCAGGGGAACTGGGCCTCCACCTTGAAGCCGTACAGGAGCCACTGACCTGACAGGAAGCCCACCTCTGCCACCACGCGGAAGGCCACATTGATGATGTAGAACCTCTTCAAACGCAGGTCCTCTCTTGACTGCCGGCGGCGGAACTTGGACTCCTCCCTCTTTTTATGTTGGTGCATGGCGTACATGAGGAAGACCAGGGACGGCGTCGCGATGAGGACGATGTGAAAGACCCAGAACCTGTACTGTGAGATAGGGAAGGCCATGTCATAGCACACCTGTTTGCAGCCCGGCTGCAGCGTGTTGCAGGCAAACTCCTGCTGCTCGTCCTGGAACAAATCACTGGCCACCGTGCCCAGAATCAGAATCCTGAAGACGAGCATGATCAGGAGCCAGAAACGTCCAAGCATCGGCGAGTGCATCTGCAGGGTGTCAAAGAGGCCGCTAAGGAGACCCCACTCTCCCATGACTGCGGTGGTCTGGTTTCTCTAAATGACCTAAACCTCCTCGTCCTCCTCTGTGGAAAACCTCCCTCTGACTGGAAGGAGAAACTGCTCCGTGTCTTATTGTCCCCAATTTACAAGACGTCAAAGGCTAATCTTCAGGTCAAAGTTGGGTCCAAGGATTCAGTGTCAGAGTCATAATCAGGGATGGGTTTTCACACCACAGCACAGTGACCTGCAAACAGCAGTGAGAGAAGACTTCAACACTTACATCCAGATAATACGAAATCCAAAGAAATAAAGCAGCAACATACAAATGATTATAGACAAACATGACGTGAATGTTTTATAGAATATTTTGTACGCGTACGAAATAGAAGAAAAGAAACTAAAAGGCTCAAATTAAACATAAAAATATATAAATATAAAACATGTAATAAAGTCTGAGAAAGGTCAAAGGTCATTGGAGTTGTTTTTCAACAGATTCCAAGCTTAGTTAAGACGGAGCTGGTTTGATCCAAAGCCTTGGAGCTACAGCTGTAAACGATGAGTCAGCTCGAGGTTTTCTCAAAGTTACATTCAACATACAGGGCTAAGGTTGAATCAATAACTGTTGCAGACAAGTTCCTACAGTTGCTGGTTGAACTACTTGCCGGTATGAACTTATATGATGAAAGATAGAAAAGCCGGTTGAGCAAAAAAAAGTTGAGTTCCTTCTGCAGTGCAGAGAAAACACCACCCAGCTTATAAGCCTCCGACTCCACTTACAGCTCCAGGCTCTAGCCTCATGTCCATCTGACTTGTCCTCCTCTCTGGCTGTTTCACTCAAAGTGGCTGGTCATTAAAGTTCACCGGTGCTTATAATTTAGGGCGGCGACGGTTGAAGGAAATTCCTAACCATTTAAACGTCCCAGATTGCAGTGATGTTTACTCTTCATCTTGATGAGCGTCTGTACCAGAGCTTCCTCACCGGCAGGAAGGATCTGGTGGTGGACTTTGAACAGCAACAGTAAGATGTTTTACACCATCACCGATGTCAAAAACAAACAACTATCTAGACTACACCATCACTGCACAATCATCCACATCATGAGCTCTGTTCTTCTCACTGTCACTTTTATTTCTGATTGCAGACATTTTAACCAACTTGGTATTTTTATACTTATCTAAGATGTTTTTTTTCCCTTTGCTACACTCAAATTGTTTTTTTTTTTAACAAAATCAATGTCTTTTACATAGTTTAGTCTTTATTAGTATACATTTCACCAGTTATGTATACAGTATATCTAAATCTAAGCTGAAATGTGAAAACAATACTTACCCAAATCAAATTTCCCAGAAATGTGCTTTCCTCTGATTTTACTCCGTGTCAACCCGGTGCTCTACGTTGTCATTAAAATTCAGTCTGAACTGGAACTGTAAATAACCAACTTGTTTAGACAAAATCACTGACGTGAGCCGTCGAGCAGGATTTTCACATTCTACAGACACACACCACCATTTTTTTTATTATAAGAAAAAGTTTATTTAGATATATAAAATAAAGAACCATAGAAATATTTACAGGACAAGAAGAGACGAAACAATTTAAAACGATGCATGCATTAAAATGTCATTTTCTTAAACAAGGATATTATGTTTCCTTTGTGACTCTAAAATAAAACAGTGTACAATGTCGAGTTCAAGTATTTAAATGGAAGTCTTCAACACCAAAAGTTTAAAATGTTATGTCTAAAGATTTTAGTTACTACAAAATTTAACAATCCTCATCAGAATCTGAATCCAGGTTGTAGGTGACGGGTTTGCGGGCTCGTGACGGCTTGTCCCGTGATACCATAGGTTCCCGAGTCACTTTTCCTGGGATCTCTAAGCTGTCTTCCTCTTCCCACTTTTTGGTTTTCTGCAGCAGAAAGATATATATATATATATATATAGTATATAAAAATAGTTGAATGAAATTCACATACAGTGCGAGTCAATGTGAAAAGACCTTGAACTGACCTTGGCACCAGTTGTTTTGGATTTGATGCGTGACATGAGGTCATCAGAGCTATCGTCTGAGTCATCGCTAACAACCTGCTTTCGCTTGGCGGTGATTTTAGCCTTAGGGGCTGGCTTAGCTCCAATTTCAGCCTCGGAGTCACTGAGGTTTAACGAGAACGTCTTCTTCTGTTCGACCTTGGATGACGGTTTGGAGTTGGAGAGAGACGCCATGATGGAAGGCTGCTTTGTATCTAAAAAACAAACAAACAAAAACAAAACAGGGTCAATTAAATGATCAAGAACAGGGGTCAGGAACCTATGGCTCGCAAGCCAAATGTGGCTCCTTTCCTTAGCTGGCATTTCTGAACACAATAAGTAATAATTCCACTGATATTCAAGTAAATCATTACAGGAATCAATGTTAAAATAATCTTAAACCCCCCCCCCCCAACATTCTTGTGCGTTTGTGGCGGCAGCGTCCTCTCTTTGTGTTGTGCTAAATAATCTTTTATTTCTGGCATAAAAAGTGAAGTCTAAGTCAATCCATTTTGTAGCAACACACACACTCACAATATAAAGGAAAAGAATACTTAATGGTAAAATTAAAATAATATAAATAATTATTGATGGACCTCCTTACATTTGCAGCAGAGCCCGCTGATATAAAGGTTCCCGATCCCTGATCTAGAACCAGTCTATTTAATTCACATTCCATTTTGCCCTGTAGTTAAAATTTCTCTTGTAAAAACCCTTTCCTAGTTTAGCACATTTGTTTTTCACTTACAACCACTTTATATTTCTGTGTTCCTGTCTGCCTCCTTGTGGACAAACGTAGGTGTTGCGTTGAATTGAATGTGAAGCCCTTTTTTGTTACTGAGGCCTATAGTGACCGTCGATCCCTAGCGGTTTCTATTTTACCACTTCGACTGAAAGATGACACCTACTTAAACTTTTCAGAAAAAGTCCATGACAAAATGTTTTTTTACTAATTAATAATAAATAAAAAAAAAGCTTCCCACCTGCTGCTGTTTTCTTGGTTGCTGCCGTTTTCTTGGTTGCTGCTGTTTTTTTGGCTCCGGCCGCAGCAGAGGATTTTTTGGTGGCTTTCGGTTTAACAGGAACCTTGGCTGCAGACTCCTGATCATCTGACTGACCTACAGAGATCCACCAAATCTTTAAAGGGCTCAACCTTTGTTTCAACCAGGTTACAAAAAATTAAATAGATAAAACATAAATGAACTATTTATTTACTTACTGCTGGACTTGACTGCCTGCCTTCTGACAGTGGCTTTCTTCTTTGTCCTGCACAGGATAAATGAGTCAGAAAATGAAAAATTATGTAAAATATATGTACTTGTAACATACATACATAAATACACACACACACACACATATATATACATATATATAACTCTCTGGTTTTACTCACGCAGGATTCAGAACAAAGCTTTTGTCCTCATCGTCATCGATGACAGTTTTCTTTTTCTGAGCGTCGTTCTTCATCCAGTCATTGAATTCTTCATCGCTGTCTGACATGGTGTATTGGACTGTAGCTGGAATAATTAGAGCCAAGTGGACAGAGTCAACACTTCAGTCAGGGATTCATCGACACCAAGTACTTAATTAAGTGATTTAGAGCCATGACTAAAATATTAACCATGGCAACAAACAAATACTAATAATAATAAAAATCATTTGCAAACCTTCAAAACAGACATAAATTGAAATCTCAAAAGTAGATCTTGGCTTTTAAATATTTGGACTGATTTGCACATTTAAATACCTTGAGATGAAGACATTTAGACACTCAATGGCTCTGCGGGAAGTCTGTGGCCCATTAAATCAGGGAATTTAGCTGATTATGATGACGATTTAGTTTTTTTGTTCACACAGACATTTATACCTGTATTATTGTCATTTTGATAGAATGTGAGTCACACAGCAAAAACTACTGTAAAATCACACACAAATAAGTAAAAAAAAAAAAAAAAAAAAACTAAGAGGAGTTCCTTTTAGATTTAAAGTCACAATGTTACAACTTTTCTGAAATTATCACAACTCACCATAAGGTGTGAATTGTGTAATAATCACTCCACTGTGTAATGATTAGTCTGACGTTTATTCAGATTCACCTTTAGTTTTTAGCTCCCTTCTTTGCCTGGGGGCAGCCACCGCCTCTGTGTCCATAACACTGTCGGAGCAGCTCTCAGACGCCACGTCGTCAGATGTCCTGTCCTCAGACTCTTTCTTAACCTTCATGGTGACAGGCTTGAACTGGAGTGTGGTCTGCTTACCCACCACTGCACCAAAAAAGTGAGTTCATTGAGCCAAGTAAAAAACAAAACAATAACAAGCACAGCAAACTCTTTTGCAGAGTTTCTGTGCTGGAAATTGGCCACACATATGTTTTCAGCCTTATATTAACAAATGGAACTGGATCTGTTCCCAACTTCTGTGATTTTGAACCTAAATATCCACTAATGCTAATTTATATGATTACGTCTCTGTCACACCTTTTTCCTTTGTCTGACTTTTACTCTTCTTGCTCAGTCGTGCAGCCAGACCCAGCTCCTCATCTGGAACCACGTTCTCAGAGTCTTCTTCAAACTCCATCTTCATCACGACCTTTTCCTCCTAAGATTTAAAAAGGAAAAAAAAGGAACAAAAGTTAGAGGAAATGTTCTTTTCTGAAAATCAAATGAATAATTTCAAAAAAACTTTTCAAATAGTGTCAGGTAAACAACAATCATACTAATTCAATACCTTGGGTTTCTTGACCTTCTTCTTAGCGTCGGCTTTCATGGTGCTGGTGACTCGGGGGATGACCCGACGACCCTGAGGAGTAGGCAGAGTCTCCCGCTTCACCTTTAATGCTTTGCCTTTTCCCTTCACAGCAGGCATGACCATCAACTCCTTTTCTTTAGCCTCGACGCGCTGAGATCAAGGACAGAAGTAATTAGAGGTTGTTGTGGTAGAAAAGATTCAACCATGACCAACTGTCTGTCTGACTGTACCTCTAGTTCCTCAGTGAAAAGAGCCAGGTCTTCTCTCCACAGGTCAGACGGACTCTTCTTCTTCAGGATCTCCAGCTCCGTTATCTGGGAAACAACAGACAGGTCAAAAACAGTGTCACATTATGGCCACTAGGGGGCACACATCATAGTTAAACATCCCACCTTGCTGTCCCTCTGTTTGCACAGCTCCTCTTTCTTTTCTTTGGTTAGGTACCACATGGGCATGCCGAGGAGGTAGTTGTAGTCTGGACCACTGGTGTGCTCCATCTCTGCCCCCTCCTCATCTTCATCAGCTAGATCCTCATTCTAAAAGGGTGAGAGCAAAGGAACTTAGTTTCTTCACTCAAGTCTTAACTGGCCCATGCATGTGCTGCAGTTGAGAATCAAACCTTTTCCTGGGCTTGTTTCCAGGCCTTGACTGGGTCAGAGTCGTAGCCCATCTGCTCTAGCATCCTGATCAGCTCTTTCTTCGGCTTGTTCTCTGAAAGAAGCCAACCACAGATGTATCAGTTGTTGTTGTTGGAAAAAAAACCAAACAAAAACAACATCACAAGAACTAATACTGATATAACGGTTTTAAATAGATATGTTTCAGAAGCCACTGACCGATGACCAGCGTGCCCTCAATCTTCTCCAGGATGAAACGAGCCTGGTTGCTGAGCTTTAGGCTCTCTGCGGACAGCATGCCTGTCAACCAGTCCTTCCGCAGCATGTAGTACTTCATTCTCAGCTCAAAGAATTCCTTCATAATATCCAAAACAGACTCGTACTTCTTCAGGCTGCCCACGTGGTCAAACAGGACCTGAGGGAGTGGGATAAGTTACTACGTTTGTAGAAAGATGCTTATTTAGGATATATTATCCACATAGTTATATCCACATACCATAGAGTTACATGTGAGTGGACTTTGGAGTTTAAAGACTTTATGGAGGCCAGCAGCTTCAGCCTCCCTCAGTTTCTCCTCGGTCATCTTTACCACGAAGCGGACGGTGGTGTCTGTGTGGTACTCCTTGTAGTCCGTGATCAGAGATGGAACCTTATCTGTGCCGTTCAACATCGGCTCCAGCACATTCTCTTTGTAGACCTGTCCCCGAGAAATGTGGTTTAATCACAACGTGCTGATATGGAAGAACATAACCACCACGCAAAACTTGAGGGACCGACCTGTGTCCACATTTTGACAGGCAATTCAGAGATCTCAATGGTGGTGGAGTCAATGATGGCCAATTCTCCGCTGTTTAGGAACTGGTTGTCCAACACCTGGTCAATTGTGCCCTTGAAGCCTTTGTAGTTTGGAAGCTATCCAAGATGTCAATGATTAGACAACTGAGTGAGTCAAACTGATTGTTAATGATGTGCTGTCCTCACCATTGGCAGGGGCTCCTCCCCGTTGAGCATGCGGTTGACGTTATTGATGACCTCTCGGATGTCGTGGTTGGGGATTTTGCTGGCCCAACCGGTGCCGATGCCTTCAGAGCCGTTCACCAGCACAGTGGGGATGATGGGAATGTACCACTCTGGCTCCACACGCTGGTTGTCGTCATAGTTGTACTTGAGCAAGTTGTCATCCAAGGCCGGGAATACCAGGCGGGTAATAGGGCTGTAAGGACAAATGTCCAAAATGTTTCTGTCCAGCAGCGGTTGTCTGGCTCTGTTGACACACAGGCTACAGACAGACCACTCACCTGAGCATGGTGAAGATGTATCGAGGGCTGGCAGAGTCTTTACCACCGTGCAGCCTGGTCCCAAACTGACCAAGAGGCTGCAGCAGGTTCATGTTGTTGCTTCCCACAAAGTTCTGGGCCAAACCCACGATGGTCATCATCAGTGACACCTGAAAATGATCGTTTATGGAGTCGTTATAATCAGCATTGTTAAACAGGTAAATGCAACTATAAGTTTGTATTATGAACAAACTTAACACACCTCTCCATGATGGTAGGCCGACATCTCAGCAACTGAACCAGCCAACTGCGCCACCTTCACCTCACGCTTGTCGTTTCTTTTCATGCAACAGAACAACACTTTCCTCTGACCAGGCTTCAGACCTACAGCACAAAATGTGACAACTGTGTTATTACTGGAATTTCTCTAGGAAATTAAGTGAAAAGTCCAGAAGCTTGGCCAAAATCCAAGTCTTTGAGAATGGAGAGGCTAATCAACTGGTATTTGACTTTATAATTTATATTGTAGACTAAACACAAATGTTAACCAATCAACCAACTCACCATCCACTAGGCAGGGAATTGACCTTTCATTATCGGAGTTTGAAAACAGGATAAGCTCCTTGTTGACAAAATCATTGTAGGAAAGAGACTTTGTGGTCTGACTGTAGAGGTAGTCCTGAAAATGGGAAAAAAAAAAAAAAAATTATGTAAAAAAAAAAAAACTGACAGAGAAGCATAATGGACCTCAGAAAGTTCTGCAGGAGCAGTGATGTTGCAGCACCTCTGGCAGGTTGTGCTCTCTACGCTGGCGTCTGTCCATCATGTAGTTGTTCAGCCACTCCTTTCGCTCGTCCACCTTCTTCTTACTAAAGGCCTAGGGATAAAAAAAGAAAGAATAAAAAAGTAAATTAGTTTAATTTAATTTAATCTCACAGACAAAGGGACACGAGGACTTACAAGAGTTATAGCTTCATCGTCTTGGGGTCCAGAGTACTTGAATGGGATTCGGTGCCTCTGCATGTCAGAGAAGTACTCTTTGGCCTCCTGGGATGTGCTGGTTCCCAAACCTGTGGGACAAAATGGACACAAAGAGAGGCCCTGTGAGACAAAGAACCTAGAAGATGACAACGTGACAAGAGTCGAGCACAAAGGGGCTGCTTACTTGGCCTTTTTTACTACCACACAGGGGTTTAGAACAAACCTTTGTAGTATTTGATTTTCCAAGATCTGTAGTTGGCCTGAGACTCTTTCCAGACATTGAATTCAGGGATACTGTAGAAGGAGAGCTGGGTTTTCTTAAAAGACACCTACAGAGACAATCAAAAACAGGTTCACCTCACTTTCTCCTTTTAAATTTCAAAACAAAACAAACGAGTAACGATTGTTCCACAAGCTGGCCACGAGATGGCAGTGCGGTTGCAAATGTCAGTTTATCGGGGTTATAACTCTATTTCATCTACTGTGGTTCACAAAACGATCCTGCAAGTGACTGACGTTCTTTGTTTACAGACCTTGATGATCGGTGTGATAAACTCCTCCAGGAAGTTGTGACGTAGCAGAGACGGCCAGTTGTGGTGGATGAAGTTGATCAGCAAGCCTTTAATGTGGGAGCCATCTTGATCCTGATACGAACACAGGAATGAAGCAGTGTCCAGTAAAAAAAACAAAACAATAACAACAAACAAACCAAAAAATTAACTAAACTATAAAAAGAAATGTCAAATGTGTCATGCGACACTAAAAATCACACCTGATCGGTCATGATCATGATCTTGCCATAACGCAGGGTCTTAAGGGAATCAGGGTCACTGTAGTTCTTCTTATACTGGAGACCAATGATCTTGATGATGTTGTTGATCTCAGCGTTCTCCATGATCTTAAGAGGAAGACAATATTGGCATCACTGTTCTGATTTAAATTTTCCAAAAGTTTTGACATTTGTCATTTATTATTCTGTAAACGAAAGCAAAGGAGAAATATGTAAACTGTTTTTTTGTTGTTGTTGTTGCCCAACCTGTTTGTGTGAGGCCTCCCTAACGTTGAGTATTTTTCCCCTGAGGGGGAAAACACCATAGCGGTCTCTTCCCACAACACCCAGTCCAGACACGGCCAGTGTCTTGGCCGAGTCTCCCTCAGTGAGGATAAGTGTGCAGCCAACGGAGTTCTTTCCACCTGCAGGACAACATGGTTATAGAGCAAATAACCTTGATAAGAATGATGTGTTATCCACACAATCTTAAGATGCAGTACCTGCATCGTTAGCATCATCCAGTTTAGGCACTCCCTTGATTTTTGTGTGTTTGACAGATGAGCATTTCTTGTTCAGCAGTGTCTGAGCTTTAAACTTCACCCAGTTCATGATACTTTCCACAATCCCACAGTTTGTAGCCTTTGAAAAACAAACAAACAAAAACAATAGGTTTTCAAAGGTTCAATAGGTTTCAATTAATCCGAGTGTCATGGCCTTTGCAGGCCACCCAGCGTTGATGCTGAAAAGGTTTTTATTGGCACCTGTTTGATGAACTGAGCACTGAGGGAACATGTGGACCCAAAGCCCTTCTGCTGCAGAGTCATGTTCTCTTTGGTCTGAGAGTCAAAGGTCGGGTTCTCAATCAGACAGTTGACAAAGAGCCACATGTGGTTCTTCACCTGCAGGGTGAGAGGAGAACAGTGATATTTACTCAGATCCAAATATTTATGATTCATCCACATCAGATCAGAGTTTGCTTTCTGACTACTGAACCTGGAAAGGCTTCACTGCCACGCCAGCTTTGTTCTTCTTCTTCACTACTTCAATGAGTTTTGCGACCACCTGGTCAGCCACGTAATCAATGTGCCTCCCTCCCTGGATTCAAAGGGACAAACATTTGCAAAATAAGCCAAATTTAAATTTGTGGGGGAAAAGCCAAAATACAGTATATTAGAGTACCAAGGAAAGTTTCAACATATTTCTTAATGGCGCTTTACTCTAGTAATGACAGTGAATCGTTACCTTAGTCGTGGCAATACTGTTGACAAAGCTGACTTGCTGGAAACCTTTCTCACTCATGGTGAGACAGACCTCCCAGCGGTCATTGACTGACTCGTGAATCACAGTCAGGGGACCACCGAGCTCATCTGTCTTGTCCTTCAAATACATGTCCACATAACTACGGAAACCATTGATCTGAAAAAGAGAACAATGAACTCAGATAACACACACACACACACAAAACCCCAAACCTGCATGATTGTCATAGTGGAACTCACTGGAAGCTTTGTGCCATTAAAGAACACACGAATACCCTTGGTGGATCCGGCCACGTCGTAGGCTCTCCTGGTCATCAAAGCTACAGTGTCTTTGTCCAGGATGCTCATCTTAAACTTGGGAAGGTCTGGTCTGAAGGTCACACAGGTGTACTCCTCTCCCTCAAAAGGTCTGACCTGAGGTTCCCCAGCTCTGCCCATGTTGTCATACCATGTCTAGAGGAAGAATGGACATGGTTAACACACAGAGGGGAAAAAAAAGGCCCAACAGTGCAAGTGTGCTTTGTCCATTTCCTTACCTGCTTGAAGCACTTCTTTGACTCCTTGCAGGAGGTTTCCACTGTGAACTTTGTGCTAAAGATGTTGCAGAGCTTAGCACCGTAACCATTACGTCCACCTAAATAATGTATTGATGCGGAAGTATGAGTTAAGATAGGAGCAGGGAAAAAATAATATTACTAATGATGGCTTAACTGATTTTGGAAAAAAATGTTCTTTTCAAATTCAAGTAAACTTTGACATCTATATTGTCAACCAGTATGGTCGAACAAGTCAGGTGAAGTGTCAGAATTATGTTTGTCAAATGGGACATGCTGTTCCAGTTACATAAATTTAGGCTTTAGCTCCAAATCCAATACAGCAATTACAAATTAGTTTTAGGCTTTAGCTCCAAATCCAATACATTTATTCCAATACAATTATTTTATATTTTGGCCTAATCCTTGTGTCATTATTTCATGATCATTATCAAATCATGAGGTACCCAGAAATACCGCAAATAACAGAGAGAAAACATACACACCCAAATGAGTGCACGTGTTTTCAGACTCACCGGTGACTTTTTTCTCCTCGTCGTCATAGTTACTGGACGTGAGGAGTTGCCCAAAGATGAGAGCAGGTACGTAAACCTTCTCCACTTTGTGCTGCACCACAGGGATACCTTTTCCATTATTCCAAATACTGATGGTGTTGTTTTCACTGAAATTGCAAAACAAACATATTTATTTTCCCTTGAATGACCACAAAAACAAACAAAATTATGTATTAGAATATTTTACAATACATAGGATATTTTTGAGATCTGAACTTGGTTTGTAGTACTCACACATCAATGTTGACTTTGATGCAGGTCATGCTCTTATCCCTTTGTTTATTGTCAGCTGCATTCACTATAGGAAGAAAATATAATAAATATTTATATACAGGGAATTTATATATATATAAAAACCCCGGAAGCTTTAAATTGTGTAGATATCTTGTCTGAAGTTTGAAAACTCACCAAGGATCTCATCAAAGATCTTGTAAAGCCCAGGCACAAACGTCACATCACGGCAGTTCAGTCCAAGCACCTCATCATACACCCACATTTGCTGAGTAGGGGAAAAGTGACAGTAAAGTCGACTTGTAAATTTTTAAGACACCAACCATTAATGTGTTATTCTCCTCATCGGCATCCTGCAGCTCTGCTCAGAGAGCAGCATCCTACAGAATATACGTATATATATATACACACACACACACACACACATATATATTATATATATATATATATATATATAAAAAACAGTGCACTCGCACACAAGTTCCTGTGAGATTAACTGGAGGTCCTGAAATCAATACACTGACTACAGAAGCCATCAGATTAAAAGGCTAAGCCACCGCTGTGTGACTTACTTGGGTGACAGTCTCCACAGAGCCTATGTAGGAGTCTGGTCGAAGTAAAATGTGCTCCAACTGCGTCTTCTTCTGATAGATCCGCTCTACCGACAGCCTCTTGGGATCTTTCTTTGTCTTTTCAACCGTTTTGTTTCCAAAGAAAGCTTGCTGCAAATGTCACAACAATGTTATTCTCCAGGTTTTATACTGTATTAAAGGCTTGACATAAACAGGGCTCTGTGTAGCCTATTAACCGCTACACAAAAACACAAAGGGTTAACGCTCTACAGAAATATTTAGTATAGGTTGAATATCCAATATTTTGAAAGAGGTGTTTTTAAAACACAAATTATATTAATAGTAAAATCAAACAGTGCTTCAGCCCCCCACAAAAACTATAGATATTACAATTGAACTATTAGCTAGATTTCTACTGGAATCTCAAACCTATAGCACAATATGTAAGATTATTTTGTGGTCCTTAATTTTTTATTGACTATTTGTATATTTAATAATTTAGGTTAATTCAGAACCAGAATAAGAAGTAGATTCTTCGTGAAGCAAAGGGTTAAAAACCTACTTATGTTACAAAGCTGTCCTCTGGAGGTCCAGCTCTCAAATAATTGGATCGTACACAGGGGTAATGCCTCTGTTTACAAATCATTGAAAATTAAATACAGACAAAATAACGTTGTTTTTTTCAGTCACATATTTAGATGAGGGTTTTAAGTAGACCGTATTTAACAATGACAGTAATTTTGTGTAAAGTGTTTTGCATTTTCAATTTTCTTCATTCCTTGCTCACATTCTAAACACGTTGAATCTGCAGTTTTTTTCTTCTGATGCAGCATTTACATCTAACGTCTAAAGGTTTTGATCGTTGCACAGTTAACTAATCGCTGCAGCTTCGTCGTGCAGTAAAATTCAACTCATGTTTAATATTAATCTCTACAATATTAGTCTGTGTTAATTAAAGGGACAATAGGGAAATTGACATTTACATTCTAAGATGCTAACTTTGTTTGTAAAAAAAAATGGCGGTCCACATAGATTTTCACAATTTTAAGTGACAAATGGTCCCCATAACTGCGTTTACCTTAAGACTACCAGCAAAATTAGACATGTTTTGTCCCTCATTTGTCCACCACCTAGAATCGTTTAACAATGGACGAGTTTTTGTATGGTTTATAACGTTAGTTTGTTGGCGCAACGACTACGAACAGCAACACGGCACCTTCATAACACAACCACAAAAAACAAACACAGAAACAGAAAAACACGGCGAATTTACCTTCAGTGGCTCCGCCATTTTTTTCTTAAATATGCCCCGTTTGTTACTAAGAAGCAAAAACCTAATAAAATCCCCAACAAATTTACTTGTGGCTAACTGCTAACTACAACTGCTGCCTGGCCGTAAAGATAAGATAAGTAAAGAAGACCGCCTCTGGGTTGAAAATTTGAAAACTCAAATGAAGTCTCTCCCGCCAGCTGTTTGAACCAATGAATTGAAGGAACAGTGTGACGAATATCCTCAGTCGGGAAGTTAAACATCGCCACCAATCACTGACGGCAGAAAGGTACATGCACCGCCTGCCCTGTGCTACTCGGCCAATCATCTTTCAGGCAACCATATTCACAGATTCACCGCAGATGTTAGAACACTAACAACACGACTTCTATAACTACGATTATAAAAAGTTGAACACCAAAAAAATAAATACAAATAAAATAATAATAACAAATTCTACAAGTTAAACGTACTAAAACTTACCTGTGAATACTATTACTAAACATGTTATTTAATAAGGCTGTGGCTCATAATGACGATAATATTTATCAAATATCATATAAACGGAAGATAATGGCTGGATAGGTTGATTTGATTTCCAAAAAAATTTAAGCTGTATTGTCACATGCTTGTCTGTAAAAAAGGGAAATTGGCTACCATTTACCCTAGTGCATGAATAAAAGACATTCAAAAAGTAAAACATTATGATAAATTGACATTTTGGTTGCAAAAAGGGGGGAAACAACTTGATTTTGATTGTATATAAATAGTGGACACTTTTGAAGCCTTGTAGGCCTCCTGTCACAATCTATTTTGTCATCCTTTGTAATGTTATCATTCAAATGTACTGCATCTCACTGAAAACAAAGAGTGTGGGCCTAAAGTGCTGACTTTAAGCTTTAAGAGAGTTGGGGGATGCTTAATGGGCGAACAGTGTCAGAATCCCAGTGCATTCACCCTGGAGGAGGTTACAGAGGTTATTGATTTAAACACCATTAGAGCTGCAAGTTCTTGTTGTAACTTTCTTGATACAGTGCCATATGCTACACTGTGCTGTGCTATACTGTGGAATACACATCGTGCATACAACACAGTATTTACAGCGCATACAAAACAGTTAGTATTGTGTATGTGCTGCGCATAAACCATTGTTTTTCAAGGAGACTATTTCCTATTATAACCCATAAAATATTGATTATATGTACCATAACAGAAAGACATTAAACTTTAAGATTAATGTTTATTAATAACGGCCAAGAATTACCATTCAGAAATAGTCCTGATATAGCAGTCCTTATAAGATATAATACATGGACTATATGGGTTTGAACACAAAATAAATACCAACAATCACTGGCCTATCATTAACAACCCCCCAACATATCTTTGACCTCCCAAATTTACAAATCTCTCTCTCTCTATATATATATATATGTGTGTATATACATACAGTATGTATAAATATATATAAATTGCATCAATGCAAACAACGTTTTTCTCCGCACACTGCAAAAACTAGCCTCACAGGATCTATGTTACACTTTCCGGAGATGCACTACCCAATTTCATTCTGCCTCTGTTATCAAAACCCAGCAATCTCTCATTTCCTCCAATCTCCCTGTCACACATGCATAATCAGTGTACTTGATAGCTGCCTAAAAGCTATTTAGTGGTTAATGGCTTTATCTCTGCAGACGTGGGTTGTTGTACTTTATAAAAGTGCTTTGCTGATGCCTTCCTGCAGCACTGTGTCATGATGCAGAGCCCTGCTTCCTGTCTTACAGCCATGTTAACCTGATGTAAAGTAATTGAAGAAGAACACATTAAAGGAAACAACAATACTTTTTGCAATGCCAAGCAATCTCTGTCTGTCCAGATCTGTAGCTATCAGTCAATGGAAATGCAATGTCCTGAGTTATCTCAACGTTCTGTCCTTCTTATCGACCTTCATCTGCTGTGTTACCCACTCATCTGACCTTGGCCTGATGATAATAACAGGACTGGAGAGCACGAGTACAATGTGCAGCGTCTACACAAGTGAGGGTGGAAGCACATGTTCAAGGTTTTGTAGCTCAAACAATAAGGTATTTCTGTGAATAGGCACTAAATGAGTGTGAGAGCTGCCATCAGTAGGTTTTCATTAAAACACCACACAGTAGTTTTAATAGACCCTATTCAAAGCAGACAATGTTCCCCTCACTGTCTACCTAAACACAGACCATTTAGAAGGAAGACCTGATTCTACCTGGACTTTTCTATAACACTGTGAGGACTGCCGGCACACTGCCACAGATGTAGTGATAACTGAAAAATGGACTACTTACTAAAATGTGGAGCGTTATGTCATTCAAGGATACTCTGGGTTTGGCAGATATTAGATTGACACATAGGTTGACAGATGGTTCTTCAATTATTTCAAGTAGTTTGCAGTAGGTACTGTAGGTAAAAGGCATTCAAGTCTTTTAACACTATAGTTACAAAGAAATAATTAATATATACAGGTCCCAGGTTGCATTGTTGAAAATGCTGCTATTAAATAACCCATTACATAGAAAAAAGACTAAAGTGACTAATGTCATCATCCCAGAAATAATTTGCAGAAGTAGTTAAATGACAGCAACATAACGCAAAGGTAACCAAAATCCAATGAATAAAAGCCAGCTTAAGAGTAAGAAAATAAGGATCAAAAAGTTATCTTACCTAAAATGTTATCTTAACCACATTGGTCACTATGTCAGGGTGTGGATGAAGACTCAACCAATTGGAGGTCAAATATCAGAAGTCTGGATGAAATGACCAGGAACACTGTGAACAGACACAGATATTGAAGCAGAATTTTCCAACGGCTGAAACTAGAAGATCAATTTCAATAATATCACTGTTTTGATACTCACTAAAAAATTAAAGCAACTTGGTTTAAATTTCCATACATCATCTTTTACACTCAAAATATTCCAAATGTGAGATAGAAAGACAGAGTAAAACTCACAGCTCACATAGCAAAATATATGTGGACAGGTTCTGGCCCATATTTGGTACATACAATAGATTGACACCTTGATTTGGGAAAAATAATAAGTTAAAGGTATTTTGTAAAATAACACATTTAAGTAACAACCACACTACACATTACCAATGACTGTATAAACATGTTTTGGTCAATATTTAGCTAACATCCATTTTATCTGGGCAGTTAAAAAAAATTGTAAATATATATTTAATTTGACCAGAGCTTTTTTCTTTGAGGGACTTGTTTTCACCATCACATTCCCAGCAGTGTCCATGACGCCCAATAACATGACCTTTATGGTGAACAGCCTCCCCCTACCTGTCATTGTGAAAATGCCGGAGACACAATGAGGGAATAAGAAGCATTAATTATTTTAAAAGGGCAGTGGGAGAGACACTTCCATCCTGTTACTGGAACTCCAAAATCACAGCTTAACATTGAAGATATTGTAGCGTAAAACACAAGCAGCGCCACCTACTTGGTGGTTTGCAATTAAAAGTTGTGTGTACCAAACCTAGACTTTAGACTTTGTTTCCCCTAAATATTAAGAGCAGCAAAATATACAGCGAGGTCACACCTGATATGGATTCAGCAAAACAAACTGATAGACTGAACAGTATTTCATTCTCACTCCAGATTAGTGGAGGGAAAAATAGCACCGCGGCTAGAATGCTATTGACCGAGATAATCAATAGATGTCAATAGATGTATAAAGAGTTGTGTGCTTCCATTGGGGTCAAACATCGTTAGGTGGCGTTTTAGTCTGATTGTGTTTGTACCGGCTCAAAGCAGTGTGTCAATGGCTGCTAAAAACAACTGCCGCCCTGTTTTCTGCCTGTGACCCCCTTAAAGAGTTTAGACCAAAGAAATGTTTTTCTTTATGTATATAGTTGGCTTGCTGGTATTTACCGTAGTATATTTTGGCTCACTTATAGCTATTTATTGGTCAACAATGGCTTATATTTTGGCTAATTATTTTAGCTTATGTTGTCGGGCTGACCTGTTATACCTATGGGCCAATCACTATCAGACGGCCCACATATGAGTTGTATACCACAGTAGTAATCCTGGTGTGTTTCTGTATCGTTAAAACACTGTTGTATATATATTTTTATGAAAGCATTCGATTAAAACCAAAGTGTAAACAACATCAGTCATTCTGATCAATGCCGTCCATCACCTCAGTGATTCATAATCACTGTTTTTGAGGCAACAGCTCCAAAGCTGTGGGCTTTTTGACAACACTCAGTCAGCCACGATGGCTCTGCCAGCAGGGATTCAACGGGGATCAATGGATCTCTGCAGCAATTTCATATTCATACTCCGTACTTTCCTTAATGTCAGACTTCAAAGCCAAGGCTCCTCACGGGGGAAGATGAGGTGAGGTGACCTCCCTCACTGCTGGCCGTAGCAGGAAAATCCTTTCAACACATTCTCTTCTAAACTTTTGATTAGATAGGAGTGAGGAAATAAATAAATAAAAGAGTGCGAGTAGTGTTGTATTCTCAAAGACAAAGACAGACTTTGATCTGGTTCAGGTACGAGAAGGAGGCTAGGAAAGCGAGACGAGGAGCAAGGAACAAGAGTGTGTGTGTGTGTGTGTCTAATAAATCGGAAAGAAAATGTCACAGGAAGGAAGATGTGTCATTATCATGAAACCTTTGTCTTCATCTGATAACAAAACCCCTCTGTCCTGGATGACATAAAGGTCCAGCGTGACATTAAAGGTAGTTTTACAGGGAGAATTGATTTATCCTTCCAATTTTTTTATGTTTCATGTTTTTTTTTTTATGAATGTGTCAGGGCTAACACAAGATGTTTAATCTGATTAATCAAACAGTAGCCCTGGATTCATGAAATGTAATTAATTTTGCTTAATTATATCGAAGATAAATCAATATTCCTAGGTAGATGTATTTGTTTTCATTTGTATTTTTATCCAAGTGATGGAATTAACAGCATGGAATAATGCCATGAATAATATGCAAATCAATGACTGTAATATTGTTGCTTCCTAGAGTTGAGTCATTAGTCATCCTCCATCTACTCTTGTCAAACTGTTCCCATGAGTCCTTTCACAGCAATTATAAAATACATTTCTGGCCTTAGCAAAAGTAAGCTTGTGTTAGCTCAACTATTTTGTTGTTTTTTTAGCTAAAGTGCACAGAACAGGATGCTAGTTGTAGATGTTTTCAGAAGAGTTACACCAAAAAAGGTAGCAATGATAAGATGCTTGATTTTGACAATCTGACTGAAGGGTTGGGGAAAAGGCAGTTAGAAAGACAGACAGAAACCATCGTCCACTGGACAGTGTTATTTGTCAGGACTAATGCTTGGTTGATAATGCATACAGCATCCAGTCTGTATAGCTGCTGACCACAGTGGAACATTTGAAGTAATCTGATAAAGCTTGGGAAGACTGACTGTCAGTGCACTCTCCTCTGTCGATGGGCGGAGTAATCCCATTTTCTGCTGCTCCACTGTCATATGCTCATCCACCTATCTGATCTGATGCTAATTGGCGCTGTAAGAGCAGGAACATCGTTGTGTGTTGTTTCTCACATGGGGAAACTGCCAAAAACCATCGTTTTACACGTTGTGCTATGGCAGCTTTATCGTTCGACGACGGGTAAAAAAAAAAACCAAACACACAAAAAACAAAACAATAAAGGCTTTCTTTTCTTACAGGCAGCATCTTTTTGTTATTGGTTTAGCAAAGACGCAGCACCTGAGGCGTATGTCAGGCAACAAAATTTACTGAAGCGAAAAGATACGAGGCTCTCTGGTGCGACCCTTAATGTAATTACGGATGCAGTTATTTGGAGGACACACGTAAAAGCAAACGCAGCACAACAAGACCCATTTTACTGTTTGTCACACTGCAGTCCTGCAGGTTGAACTAAAGGCACGTTCTCCTTCTGAGCAGACAGTAGAGGCACAACAATGGGATCTGTGGTCCAAAGAACTTCTTCATCCAACAGTTGGAATTTAATGTTTTGTGGGAGTTCGTTTTTGGGACCTGTTGAAATGTGTCTGGGAGCCATTTTGGATTTGGCTAATTTTACATATAAGTATGTACAACTAGAAAAAAACTGTTCGGCCATTAAAGATCCACTGTGTTTCTATGTGAACCTATCAGGGTGTCAATGTGAATCTTTTTTTAAGACAATGTGGTGTTGTTAATAATTGCATGTGAAGAAAATTGAAGATAGAGGAACACGCACCATTTCTGCAAACAGAGAAATGTTTCTGCTGCCTTATAATAAAACCACACACAAGTATGTAGTATGTAGTAGAAATAAAAGTTCTTCTTCTTCTCTTTTTGTGAAGCCTGAATTATCGGAATTAATAAATACTATCCCCCCCTGAGACCCAGAGAATTCAGCCATGCTGGGCAGTTTCAGCTTGAGGCAGGTAGGAATCCAGCCTGCTGTGCAGAGGGTTCCAGCTATGAAAACATTTAGTCCCGAAATCCCATGGCTGAATGTGTCAGGAAGGGTGTCCAGTGTAAAAACTGTGCAGAATGACTTCATGAACCTGGATATACAGTAAAGAAAGGCTGGTAGGAAGTTAGTCAAAAAATGAATTAAAAAAAACTATTCTCTTTAATTATAATATATTCTTCACATTCTCAACATAAAACATATTGAGCAGCTACATTAGTTTAATATTCACTGTCGCATTTCCTTAAGTTTTCTTTCCAAGAGAGAAGAAAGTTTTGACTTCAGAAGTGCGTTTTGATAAGCAGTCGTGAGGCCTGAACCTTGGCTGCAGTTACCTGTAATGTACAGTACACAGAGTGCACCATGTAGGTGGAGCAGTCCACTGTATTTTAATTCCATTCATTCCTATGACGGCTGGACCGGCACTCCCAGGCCAGTGGGCAGCACACATGCACTCCTGTTTTCATAGTAAATTTGAGCCGGGCTGAGGTTCCTTATCAGCTGCCAGCAGAGCAGAAACAGGACGTGGGGGCGGCCAGCGATCCACCGCCCTGGAAGTCACAGGCCACAACAAACTTCAAACACAATTAGTGCAGGTTTTCTTCTCCATCACTACACTTCCTCTGAGATCACTGTGTTAGTGTGAGGGTTTGACTCCTCTAAGGCTGCAAAAATCCTTTGTTGTGACCGAAGCTAAAACACAATTAGGCAGAAGAAAAAAAAGAGTTCAATCAGACGGGATTTGTGTCAAAGGACAACGATAAATACATATACTCATACACAGGTCTGCAACCTGTGCTCTTCAGCCTCTCTGCCTCCATTTGTAAACAGCAAAACAGCATTATGTCACTGTCCTCTCCCTACAAGGCTAATTATGAAATATCTCTAGCCAAAGTGCAGGTAGCCGGTAAAAAGTAAAGCAGCAAAAAAATATCATCCTTTATGAAATTCATTCCATCTTGTATTATAAGTGCAGCATTTACAAATGTATTCACTGCACTGTCAACTTGATTTGAAAAATTAAAAGCTTGTAGAGCCAGAAGTGGTACATGATAAAAGAATCCTTGGTGTTCAAGGTTGCAGTACCACTGTGTATTACTAATCTGAAATAAATGCTGAGTCCAGTCAGTCAGTTATTGATAAGGTTAGAGTTAAGGTTTCATAGAAGCTGAAGCATCCACAGGTACCAGTGGGTTTCTGTTGACCAGATACAGGAAGAGCTTCAGGTGTCTGCAGTTAATAGTCCTGTACGCACAGTGAGGGTTGAAGAAACCAGTGTATTTGTGTACTTTCTAACAAACCCCAGTCCCTTAGGTTACTAGTTTACTAGGTTTCTTTTCAACAACTTTAAAGACAGAATTCTGCCAGCCTGTCCACATGGTCAGGTGTGAATGTCATCCCAAATGTTACAGTCTTTTTCAGTTCAGGACTTTAGTTTAGGGAAAGGCCAAGTTCCTAGGAAATGTCTCTTTTTAATTTTATTTTCAGTATTTGTTATTAAAAATACTGGTGGAGTCATTTTTTGGTTTTTATTTTTTTTTTATTTTTGCAAATATCCAGTCAAACCAGTGATTGGCCATTTCCTAAGAGACATAAATAAATAAAATCGTTGCCTGTTAACAAAGTTAAGTTTTAAGTTTAAAATATTTGCGTAAAAAAAGAATTATGAGGAACTGTGAGGATGATCCTTTTGTCCTCATCTGCTCCACATCACCTCATCATATCTGCACCGATGTCTTCCCAGCACTGAGTCGTCACAGCAGAGTGAAAAACAACCGCTCCATCTTTAAATTGCCCCCGTGCGTAAAAAGCTGCGCGCTCTGAATTTCTCTGATCCAGGATCAGTATCGTCAGCCATTATTGACGCTCCTGCCTCCTGCCTCCTGCCTCCTCTCCACTTCACCCTGGCTCCTCCACTAGTGTTGCCTGGTTTTCTTGTTGCGTGGAAACTAACAGAGGCTGCACAGAGCGAGACCTGAACTGAAGCACCAGCAGCTGCGGCAGCAGCAGCAGCAGCAGCAGGAGTCGCAGCAGCACTGTGCCACAGTAGGAGCGCCTCTGACTGGCACAAGTTTAACCAGCTGCTGAAACACACCAATGGAAGGTAACCGAGCCCTGCACCGAACCGCGGAGAGCTGTCACTCACTGGACCAGTTCAACGTGGACCCTCGCTGATACATCGCAGCATGGACAGCAGAGGGAAAGCTGCAAATACGTGAGTGCGCCTTTCTCAGTGCACGTTTTTCCTGCGTGGATGCATGTGCCTTCACTCAGTTTACAACCTCAGTGAAAGAAACGTCTAATAAAACACACGATTTATGTTTGTTGTGATTGAAAAAGCCTGTTTGGTCTTTTCCCCTAATTTAAAAGTGACTCCAAAACCTTAATGACAAAATATATATATACATACATATATACATATATATGTATGTATTCCTATCGTATTATTTCATATTGAATTTTCCCCAAAGCAAAGGTGAATGAAAAGGAATGGAACAGTATCTTTCTAGGGCCTTTATGATTATGTAAGTGGTCAAATCTTTAAAGACGTTTATCTGATTATTCACTGACAGGATCCAAGATCCAAGAACGAGCTGATTAGTTAATGGATGAATTAGATTTAGACCTACATTTATTTGGACTTCTTCTGTTATGCTGGAGTGTCACTGTCATTTTAAGAAATGGAAATTAATGATGGACAACTTTTTCAAGTTATATGGAGCCAATGACGAATCAAAATATATTTTTAGATTTAATTATAAAAAAGGTGCCACATGAGCCTTCATACTCATAAACAGGACACTAACAGGGGGTCCATGAACCACTTAGAGGTCACAGAGATTGGCAGGGGGTTTATGGGTAATTTAAAAAAAGTTATATTTTGCTGTCTTTAACTAAATACTCACAGTTAGTAATTAGAACAATAAGATATGACAGGATTTGATACCATACGATACAATGAGAAGGAAAAGAGAACTTGAACAATCCTAGCCATCCTCTAAAATACAAAATAAACAATAATTAACTGTCCAAATTAAACAGTAAACAGCAGGTGATTTAAAAACAAGTATAGAGAAAGGAATTACTCAAATACTGAAGAGAGACTGTGAAGGGAAAGATGTTGTCTTTCACTTAAAAATGAAATAAATAAACTAAATTCAGCAACACATGCTCCACCTCTGCATCAGTTAGGGGGTCCTTGACCTGAAACATCTTGGAGACTCCTGCTTTACAATATTGTTGTGTTTGTGAGAGAGAGTTAAGAGAGAGTGAGAGAGCGAGAGGAAGGAAGAGGGAGATGTTACGGTACAATGGAACTCTTCCAAGCACACTGTTTTCTCTAGGGCATGAAAACGAACATCTTTATTATTGAGACTGGCGTCAGGAGAGGAGGAGAACAAATAAAAAAACACGACCGCACTCACATTCACAAACACAGTGTTTCAAGGGTTAAGTTAAGGATGTTTTTGTTTTCCTGTTTCCCCTTCTGTCATGCACACCTCTCATTGATAACCAGAAAGCCGGAGACTGCTTATCCACCATTCATGTGTTTGCCTCCCTGCTGTGATGTAGTGCCATGAAAAGGTCAGAGTCATGTGAGAAAAAAAACCCCCAAAAAACAGCATATCACCTCAGAAAGTGTTGGCGTGGTGATAAAATATTGGCTCTTTGAGACCCAATAACCACTGCTCACATAATTGGCGCCAGGATTTGTCAGTGGTGTGAATTTACAGACAGGGAGGCTGACCTTTGGTTTGCCTGAGTGTTGTGTTAATCTATTGCGTAAATTAAAAGCAGGAGCTATTTATCACATAAGTAGGCGATGAGTTTATGAACCCTGTAAGAGCTGGCCCCTGTTAATTGCTATTGATTTACTGCATTTGTTCCATATGCATATGGCAGTGAGAGGTAGCATTAGCAAAATGACTCATTTTTTTGGCCGGGGAAGTCTTTGAGAAGCATATTTTGGTTTGAAGACATTTTTAGAAAATGTAAGCGTTACTGGTCGCCCCACCCTTCTTCCTATTCATCATCCCCCGCTCCTCTCCCTGTTCTTCCTTCTCTGCCGGCTGCCTTCATCAGCTGTTGCCGGGCCTTACCAACTCTCTCCACGTCTCATTAGGGTGTTGTAATGTTGTGATGTTCTTCCACTCCTGAAATTGTCTCTACGTCATTCTGTGTCCTCCTCTGTGTGTGTGCCCATTCCTTTCTACCAGCCTACACACACTTCCCTCCTTCCCTCCTCCCCCTCTTCTCCCTCTTCCCCCATCACCCTCTTGTCCCCCATTATCTCCCACCAAAATACCAGGGTGGCATGCTTGTTTGACAGGAAAAGTGCAGCCTTCGCGCGAGCGTTGTGTTACACAGTTGAGTTGAAACCAGATCCTTTATTTCCTTGTGTGGAGCTGCATCTGTGGTACGTGCTGTGTTACTTTCTCATACGCTCCGTTGACACTGGGATGCACAGGGAAATCTTTCAGATGTCGGCCCTAATGAAGACGTATAGATAAGCATCTCCAGGCCAAGGGAGGCAGACAGCAGCAGTCAGGGCTTAGAAGCAAAGGCTTCATCAGGGCTCTGCTCCTCTTCATCTGTCCGTCAAGCCTTTCTCTGGTGGCTTATTATTTGGGTTGCCTGGAAAGCGTCTCTTAAATTGGCATTACAACAGGAGTATTATTAAGTGTGTCTAAACTTGATGTCGTCTCTAACCCCCCGTGTACACAGACACAGCACGATTACCACTACATCTACCCTCTGGATGTCATGTGATACACAGAGGTACTTAGAGATCGGTTTCATTTTTTAATCTTGGTAAGCGGATCTTGCCCAGTCTCTGGGCATTTAGACGAAATCAAGACATTTGCGTCATCTCTCTGGTTTCCTCTTTGTCTCAGAGAGGACAGACCAACACATTGTCAGATTTGTTGGTCTGGATGTGGTTTGAAGCTTTGGAATTACCCCCAACTGAAGGGATTGGATGATTGGCTAGAACTGATGCTACACTGACTTGAGGAGTTAAGTTAAGCCCCGAGGAGGATTAGTAACAAGATAGGAGCTTGCCCTGCTGATCAGCTATTAATGAAGTATGTTCAGGTGGGTAGATCTGCCGTTTTTCGAAGGCAGGTACAAAATATAAAAGTGTAGTTTATGGGACAGGACGTCTTCTTTGGCAGGTGTTTGTAAAATCATAGACTTCATATCTTTAAATTAAAGCCATCTGCTGTATATTTAAAAAAAAAAAAACATTTGTACTATACTGATCTCATATTTGGGAAATTGTTGTGTTAGCAGCAGATATGTGGTTAACAGGCAGCACCAAGCATGTGGTCCCTCTGGGAAGCGACGCCAGGACTCTCTGCTCTCTGCTTCCAAGGCAGGCGTGCTAACCGCTACACTATGGAACTGATTGAAGGACATGCAGTGAAAGGTTGTCTCCTGTCTTCTTAACATGCCTGTCATTCCATGGAATGCCAATGTAACCGTTAAAGAGCAGGGTATTTTGGTCCATCTTGAGACCAACTTGGCTAATGCCCTTTCCTTCCTAGTACACAGCTATTCCTTTAGCAGATATTTGGCCTGTAATGGTGACTGGTGTAGAGAAAATGTTGAGAGCGATAGCTTTGATGAAAGAAAGAGATGGAAACACACATGAGTCCAAAGTTGACGTCATGTCGTGATGAGTACATTTTGTTTCTCACTGTGTCATATCACTATGTTGGACTGAAATAGCTCTGCACTGCAGGGACGTCAATTACAAAGGAGCCACTGTGACACCAAAGGTTTTTCCCTGTTTATTTATTGTGCTGGCATAAAGAGAATGTTTTGATCTTTAGACTATTTTGGAAATATATATATATGTATTTATATTTATATATGTGTGTGTGTGTGTTTGTTTGGAAGACGGCATACAGCAATGGTGTATGCAGCATCACTACTGTCTCTTCACAGCAATTAGACAAGTTACTGTATTGGAAGATAACAGCACGGAGTCTATAGACCAGTGGCAATTACCCATGATTTCTGAGGAAAGATTCAATAGTTTACATCCAATTAGGAGTCACAAAAGTCTGGCATTTTCTGCACCAGCCAAACATGTGATTATTTGTGCAATGGTACAAACTTGTCTAAAGTCTAATAATAGAATTAAAAAAATACCCCCCACCACTCGGACAAAAAGAGCATCTCATGTAATGAATATCGCTGCTTCATCACCAGTGCTAATGCTAGTTTCTGTTGTTTCCATATTCTGTCTTCAACAGCTACTGCAGAGCCTGATGTGGACGTCAACCTGCACGTCCAGGTGGTCCTTCCTGGAGCGCGCTCATGTCCCACCATGCCTTTACTTGCAGACTGGCTACTGCGCCACTCAGTGGTCATGTGTCTGCTGCTGCACAGCCTGGTGCTAATCTCCTTCTGCTTCCAGCACGCTGACACCAGTTGCTCCAAGAGCTGCTACTGCTCTGAGAATGAGAGCAGCGGCAAGATGATGCGCTGCAGCAACCTGCAGCTCACAGAGATCCCCCAGGACATTCCCAACGACACGCAACGTATTTACTTGGACTATAACCTCTTAACAAAGGTCCCAACTAATGCTTTCGCAGGTCTGCCTCACCTGGTCGAACTGGATCTATCACACAATGAACTGAGTCGACTGGACCCAGCGGCCTTCAGAGGCCTGGGCCCCTCACTGAGGTTCCTGGACGTTTCTTCTAACAAATTAGTCAACTTTAGTGCTGAGGCATTTGAGGGCCTACGGTCTCGTGCCAATCTAACAAACAATCCATGGCATTGTGACTGCAACCTGCAGAGGGCCCTGCTTCGAGTGGACCTGGAGCCTACGTCACTGACGGGCATTGTGTGCAACACATCAGAACCTAAGGACATTGGAGTTCAAGGACAGGCCATTCTATTAAAACAGGACGTAGACTTGTGCTTAGTGATGAAGAGGACTACAGACGTGGCCATGCTGGTCGTTATGTTCGGCTGGTTTGCTATGGTCATCTCCTACCTGGTGTACTACGTCAGGGCTAACCAGGAGGACGCGCGCAGGCATCTAGAGTACCTTAAGTCGTTGCCCAGCAAACAGGGAAAGTCTGAAGAATCCTCGACTATTAGCACTGTTGTATAGGAAGAAGAACGGAGCTGCACTCGGGAGCTGACATTGCTACCCACACTGAACTGGATGGAGATTAAGTTTGCAGCTACATAGCAGTCATCCATCTCGGACCCGTTAGGCCATCTGTCACAAAGCTAATTTGAGCAAGTAGACATAAGCCAGCACAAGAAACAGGGCAGATGCAACCTAGCTCAGATAAATAATTCATCTTTCAGCAGCCCATTAGGAGTAACTGTCAATGGTCCAGTCTGGGCACTGTAAAAAGGATATCCAAATATGGGATATAAATGGGATTTATCCACTGGTGCATGCACTCTTCTCTCTCTCTCTCTCTCTCTCTCACACACACACACACTCACACACACACAGAAATAGAGAGACACCATCAGACAGCAATATGACGCAACCACAAAGCAACACTGAAGAACACTGTGTTCTGTATTACATTCAATTCTGACAGTATTCATAATTAAACAAAGTAAAATGGTTTTTCACTCAAAGTTGTTTGTTTGGATGTTTTTATCTTCTCAAACTGAGTTACTTGAGTATTTCACCATTTATGGAATTTAGAATCTCCTGATTCTTAATTGTCAAAGTCATATTAGTCCAAGGCCTATAAATACACACACACACACACACATACAGCATATATATAATATAATATTGAAAAACATAATAGAGAATCCTGACCAATAACACATATAACATGTACTCCTATTTCAAAGCATTTATTCAGAGGACCTTGACAGCAACAGCAACTCGTCTAAACCCCCCCCAAAAATCAAATATATAGTAATATCAATATATTTTGTGGAACATTAAAGGTCAACATTACAGGCTTAGTTGTGCCAAAAAGTTAAAATTTGGAAAACTCAAACCCTTACTGCTCTTTTTTGCTTGCTTTTTTTCAACCTTTGTTGTGTAAGAACGCGCTTACACAACAAAGGTTGTGTAAGCGCGTTCTTGTCAATACTGAATCGTCAATGTTTTAAAGATTTCGATGGAAGGCACAAGCGCTTTTTAAGGGTGTATTTTCTTTCATTTTCTTCAGGATTAGGATTTACAGTGAGTGCCTGCAGACAGGGCAGGTTTGTAAAGAGGAAAGAAAACAAGCACTTTGTTCAGTCAAGGTTGATAGAGTTCTTTTATCTGCTTAATGGAAGCAGAGACTACAGAGGCATTACACTGGATGCTTACCTGATACCAGAAACGCATTGCAGCTCTGGAATTACTCCTTAGCATAATATGCTAATGTCAACATGTCAGTCTTTTTGTCACGGTCACAAGCCGCTGACCTTTTAACCAACATAGTCGTATTGTCAGAAAATGTTGATTTCTGAGATAATTAGAGGCTTACTGCAGTTCAGCTGCTCATAAAACCAGAGAGCGAGACGAAGACTATTAATGACAGCAGGGTCAAGTTTGTCTCCATCTCAGAAGAACCCTTCAGCAAACACTCATTACTCTCACCTCTTCAACCCCAGTTAATTAAAAGAAACACAGAGACATCCCTGGTGGTCATTCTGGCTGATCTGGAGAGAGCATCCATGCTGCCCCCCCCCCCCACCTTGTGTCTTAATAGTCACTGGCGGTGCCTCAGGGAGCCATATTGTCTAATGCAGTCTCTCTCACGGGCTTTCCAAATTACATCTATTGATCATTTAAAAAGAAGTGCCATAAGTGTAGCTCTCCCGTTTCACCCCGTCCATGGCGAGGAGCAAGATGAATTTGCGTCTCCTACTCTGATGAAATCACTGTTTCAAATGAGACTGGGAAAAAGGGAAATGTATTTGAAGTGGAAAGGTAATGTAATCTACACCAGACATGTGTCTTAGACGGCCTCTTGTCTTTCTTTTTTTTTTTCAGCTACTGCTGCCCTGAATAATGAAATCAGACGTTTAAGATACAGGAAACGGTCTGTCAACAAGGGTTTCCCTCTGTCCGACAAACAAAATGCCCCCAGAGCAGAGGGAGAATGAGAGAGAGAGGGACCGCTGTAAGATTTATGATGGACGTAAAAACACCAGAGCAGAAAGTCTGGCAGTGCATCCACTTGTGTGACCCAGTTCTCGGGGAAAGATTAAGGGAGAACGCCACAGGGGATCAAGCGGCCCCCTCTGCTGCGGCTGCTTAATAGTCACACAGGCAAATCTGAAAGGGTTTAACTGAGGGAGCGACGGCTGCCCCTATTTATTAGATGTTTGAATTTTTTACAGCCAACGTCTGAATGCAGAGAAGGCGCCATTCACACAGAGTGAAACAGATCTAATAGATCTGTTTATTGGGTTTGGGTTTATTGGAGCTGTGGTTAAAACATTGACAACTGAAATAAAAAAAAAAAGAGTCATCAAACTAAGTCTGGTGTCATCAAACTAAACTTTAGAGATTTTCGCCATGTCTAATTTCTTACTATTTTTAGAGCTATTGTTTTGGCTAGCTCTGTTTTTTTTTAATATATCAACATTGTCTGAATTTGTCTATTTTGTTGTTTTTAATTTTGGTCTTATTTGCCATCTTTTAATTTTGCAACAGATTTTTTCTGGCAAGATGATTTGTTATATTCTAAAAGAAAATATTGCTAAGGCTTCAGTTTTTGCTAATTTTTGTTAATTTTTTGTTAATTTTTATCGGTAAACTTTTTAACTTTAGCCTAAAATGTTTTTAAAGAGATTAAATATCATATTAAATTGCTGATTCTCGATTCTCTTCTTCCATAAGTTAATGTGGAATAAGCCATTGATAAAGATCTGAAGCTAATTCTAAAGAAGCCTGAATTCACTGCCTGGTCCTGAACAGCAGGAAGATAAACAGATGGAACGATGTTCACAGTGTGATGGTGCCTTTGGAACCGGTCACTGTTGACAGACTCACCACCACAGCAGATAAACACAAACCTAGTTACAAACATGTGTTTTTCTTTCAGCTAACATATGTGAGTGAGCTCATTCTATTGTTAACTTGCATGTACAACAGGTGTGTGTGTGTGTGTGTGTGTGTGTGTGTACACGTGTGTGCACTGGTAATGAAACACCTCCCTGCTCCCCCAGCACACACACAACATTGCTGAGGTTAATTTAAATTTCAGGCCGGCTCAGTTTGCCCCGCCTGCTGCCTTGGACACGTTACACTGGTGTGAGCATTACAACTGCTGGGTAATGGGACACAGTGTGGGGGATAAGGTGACGCATCCAATCCCACAGAGCGCAGCCCTGTTTGGGATTGGGTTGCAGGTGAAAAATGTTTCCAAGCTGTGAGGTCACATGGTGGCTCCCAGCAAAGAGCCTGTGTGGACATCTGTCCATTTGTCCTTATTGCTAAAATAAGGTAATTGACACCAAAGGTGCAACATCCAAGGACGTCAGTGAGACCATCCTGTGAGTTAGGGTCAGTATTTACTAATTATCTCCTTTTTCCGGCCTGTGCTCCCTGTACCGCCGAGCTATTGCACCGAAATCTATTTTGGGTAAAACAGCTCCCCCTGTTGTTACCAGTGTGTAAATGTTGGCATGTAAATATCTTTACTTACAGAATGATACTTAGGATTCATTCACATTAAATATTGGTTCGAGCATGTGATCTAAAAATCTAATACTTTATGCTACTTTATGTACGTTATGATTAATATTACATACTGATTCACACTAGTATTAATAATATACATGCCATTTTCATGGTGAAAATTAAATCAATAAAAGTTCTAACTCTGATAACCAAGGCATTTCAATCATTACAAACATTTACACTTTATATTTTTATATCTTTATATACTCAAAGAATGTACACATGTTTATGTACATGTTATTTTTTTTGTCCTTAGGAATTTAGGAAGTGCCAACCACTGGAGTGTCATTGTGGAAACTGCCACCCTGTGATTGGCTTTATGAAGCTAATACGACATATTACGCATCTTCCAACTTGACACTGAGAGGATGTCTTATTTTAGATTCACACATCTGATCTCATCAGATGACGAAACCACAGGGAAGTGTACCTAGAAATGATGACCATCACTATGTGTTGTGAAGTTATTTCTAAGGAAGTATTCAGTGACTCAAATCCTGAGAGAAATTTCATCTAGCTTCAGGGAATAAAATACACCCAACTCTGCCAAACAGTTTCCAATTAAAGTGGATTTTCCACTTTCTATGAATGCCATATTTGAGAAAAATCATGTCCAATCTGTTCCTGCAGCAGATATAGAAAGTCCTGACTTGGCATTTCAACACTAGATTCCTAATAAACTAGACTAGCTATGAATGAACAAGACTAGATATAAATAGACTGGACTAGACCTGCATAAAGTATACTAGCTATGATTAAACTGGACTGGTTCTAAATAAACTAATCTAGACCCCAATAAACCAAAACTGGTTTATTTAGACCCAGTTCTAGATGTTTATTAAGATAAACAAAAGGTAGAAAAATATTATTGGTCTGTTTTCTTATAATCCAGGGTCTTTTTAATGCTGTGGAGTAATCTAGGCAAAAGGTTAAGGGTCTTTATATTTAGAATAATTTTGGGTCTTGTTGAATGGGGAAAAGTGGAAAGTGGAAAGTGTTAGATATAAAACAATATAAAATTTTGATCTGGGTTTTATGATTTGGAGTGTTAGATATAAAACAATATAAAATTCTGATCTGGGTTTTATGATTTGGAATAATAATGTACTGTTGGTGTGAAAGCTCTGCTCAGGTAACTAATTAGAAGCTAGTTTTGAATATTTAAGTGTTAGGAATAAAACCCATCGTCTGATTTTTGTACTTATGAACATGGAGTCTCGACTGTCATCCCTAACCTCGCCCCCGACCTCCACACATCCTCATGCAGCTAACATCCTGAGCCTCTTAGCAGACGAAAGATTCATCACTCAAAATCTAATGTCGTTCACGGAGCAGATATCATTTCACCTACTGCTACAGAAGCACCGTGGCAGATACAAAAGGTGACACGCCGTGTTCCGCTGCACATCAAATAAACCCTGCTGTCGGTGGTTTCCGAGTGGCTCATTGACGGGGCCGCGGAGCGAGGCCTCAGCGGTGAATAATGGCCTCCTTTCATGTGGAGGATTGACTGGAGATCAGAGCCGTGTGCTTTTCAGGGATCAGATTTGACAGCTTCACTTCACAGCCTATCGAGCATGGCCAGATGTAACGTAGTTTCAGAGGCTAATCAAGGGGCCCCGTGTCAGAGAATGAGGCCAACTGATCTGTCACAGTTAAGGAACACTGCTGACCTTTAGAGGTGATTACATAAGTCCTGACAATGGCTTGGAAGATGGAGGGCATGAGGAGTAAATTGATTTTCTCTGGAAATATCATAATAGGTAGTTAAAATTTAAGGTTAAAACATGTTTTACTTTAAGATCACTCTTACTGACGGTCAGCCAAGTTGTAAAAGTTTGTAAAGTGTATTTTGCACCATGTGAAATATATTGCTGTAGCATTTAAACATTTTATCAAGTTGATTTTTCTTTTCGTTTTAATTTCTCAGAAATATCAAGTGTCAAAAACATCAAAAGTGGACTTTTGCTATATCTCCACCAGATGGCACTCTTGTACTGTAAGCTTCTCTTCTAAAAAAAATAATCCTATAAAAAATCATGAATATTATTAATTATATTTATATTTTATAATATTTATAGATGTCTAAATGCTACAAACATACAAAAATGAGAACGAATATTTTAAAATGTGTGTGTTTTCACCATCGATAACACTCCATTCAGCTTCTTTAAGTTTCGTTTTACAGTACAATCTTTCCATTTCTCAAACTAAAAATATGGGAAATATCTACATATTCAATATCGAATAGCATCAGAAACACAAATAACCTACAAAAAGCAAAACAACATCTGAAAAAACACAAGATCTAAATAGTTTAGAACTTTCTTTTTTCGATTTCTCCGTCTGCTGTCACAGGAAATGCCTGTTTCCTCAAAAAATGTCTTCATATGACTCCAAGGTGGTTTTTGCGCAACTGATGCAGAGCAGCTTCTCTTCTTAGTGAAGAAGAATGACGAAAAACGTGGAGTTTCCAAAAGGAATCCAGGGAACCGTGTTACTCTGGAGGCTTTTTATAACAACTTCATTGCAATCTGGAAAACAGACCACTAAAACTGCCAAAATAACAAAGATGCAATTCCCTGCATATTTACAACGCCATAAAAGAAGGTGCATGCACAGCTGTAATGGCCTGGAACTACTGCACAGTATCCCACTGCATAAAGTGCTGCTGTGTAAGGTTTTCATCTCAACCACACTGACGACAAACTTTGAAGTTTACGTGAGGAATCATGTAGTAGAAAATATTAAAAGCATGGGGTAAAAATGTCCAAAATCTGACTAAAATTCAAAATACGGCAAACTTTATGACTGAATACACGCGTACGCTACATGACATACGACATAAACACCCGAAAAAGTGTATCTCAAAGGATGATACTGCTGATTGTACGTGTGCTCCCCCTAGTGGAATGCTGGAAATCAACCGCGTTGGAACTTGAATGTGCGTGTGTTCATTTAAACAGGCTAATTATTTATTTATGTTGGTCAAAATGGCGGTAACTGGAGAGAAACCCTGTTAGAGAACTGGTGTACGCAGATTCATTTGTGGTTTTTAAACCTGATCTATTTTCTGCCTCCATTAATATCTGGCTAATATCAGTGATAACAAACTTGGATATAGAAAAATACGAATGTAGAAAATTGTACAAATAAGATATTATTGACACTTTATAGTGATCAAGCTACAGGTTTTGGATTCTAGCAACAAAAAAAAAAAGGTCTGAGTAGGAAAATGTGTCAAAGGTTTTAAGATCACCTCTTTATTAAACTTGATTTTACTAATGGGTGACTTGTGCCTGTCCTCAAATAGAAAATACTGAATCCTTTCTACTTTATAACTTAATACTTTATCCTCATCTATAATTTATGTGGGCCCATTGATGGAAAATGTGGCTTTTGCATAAAAGCTCTTCTACGCATTTTGAGACTGGGAACCCCCTATATATGTGACTATAAGTGTCCTGTAAATCATGACTTGAGGTCACCACTTTGTCAAACATTAGCCAACAGAGACCATGAACGTGCTGATTGGTGAGTAGTGAGGTCATGCTTTGAAAACACTTGCTTTCCTTCCTCTTACTGATCCTCTCCAGAGACTCAGACACAGGAGGGTGAAGGAAGCTTCAAGAAAAGCCCGAGTTTAAGGTGCAGCTTTATGGTTGGATGCTTTCACTGGTGGACATGTAGTGGGTCTATTTGTGGTACTCTCATACTATTTCTTAAAATAGTATGGAGTCATTTTGGGGTTTAGGTTTCACCTCTCAGTGACTGTTCTGTGTAGCCTGCAGGGGATGGGGCATGCCCAGTGCTGCAGCAGGAGAGGAAGAGAGAGAGAGAGAGAGAGAAGGAGAGAGCCAGGCTTTGTTCCGCTTGTACTCCTCCTCAGACACACAAACACGTTCTGGATGGATAAAGAATGACTGTGTTGATGCTCCCCACAGCGCCGAGGTATTGATTCCTGTTTTTCCCCCCTTCTTGTAGCCATTGTCGTCATTCCCTGCAGCCTCATGGCCAGCATCGGACGCAGCGCGCCGCTGCAGCAGCAGACGCCGAAGAGCAGCGCACTTGTTGAGGATCCGGATTTCCAGGAGCTGGTGGAGAGGAGCCGCAGCCTGGCACTAAAGATCCTGCAATCCATTCCTGACACGCACAAATCGTGCATTCACAGCCAGGTGAGACTAACTAGCGCCGCCCGCGGGGGCAATCAGGCTTTGTTGAACTGCGTTTACGCAGCAGGGATTTTGGAGCAGGGCTGCTGCGTAATGAGTCCATGCGTGACTGAGCCTGTGAGGAGCACAAAGCCCCCTTATCAGGCACAAGAACCTACGCCACTCAGTGCCTGCTGCATAATAGAGAACTTGTAGATAAATTATACCAACGCTTGGTTGGTGCGGCACTGACTGACAGTGATGGGAGCAGTGAAGAGTTCAAATGAGAATTTGTCTGCAGGAGGAATCGTGCCAACTTTTATGGCTCTGTGTGGGGCTGCGTGGTAGGACAGGTCCAGAGGGAAAATCTCAGATTAGGTCGTAAATGTGGGCTAAAACAGACCATCCTGAAAGTCCTGACCAGAGCGAACAGCAATGATGGGATAAAGTCATCACAACGAGGACAAAAGATGTAGATGTGAGAAGTTAAACTAAGAAAAGTCATTGCTTTGAGATGACATGAAAAGTCAAGATAGTTGTCAACAGTAATGAGATGAAAAGTCAGCACTAGATAATAGCCTTGATCAAACACTTGAGAGGATTAACATTTGAAGTAAGAGAAAATCGTGAGCCAAAATTTGACCAAAAAGTTGAGACAAAAAGCCACAATGAAATGATTAGAGAAAAAGGAATGACATTAAAAAGCCAAGAAAAAGAACTCAAGAAGGTCGTAGTTATATGATTAAAAAGTATGAGATAAAAACAAATTAATTGTAAGATAAATATCATGATTTAAGTGTGAAATTGAAGGATAAGCTCATTAAAAGTTCTCTGATCAATCTAGTCTAGTCAAACCTATGTGGATAGACATCAAAATCATACGATATAAACAGTCATGTGCTACTCCAGAGTCCAATCCCAATGCTTCCAAGTATAAAAAGATCTACGTTTCATGACAACCTAAACTGTTGTTCATGTTTTAAAGAGACACAGCTGTTCCAAACTCTCCCGCTCTCTTGGCTCTGACGTACAGTAAACTGGAGGCTAGACAGGTCAGCAGGTTCAAATCCAGGTGCTCACAGACCATTCTTTAGGGGCTTCTATATAGGACCCTTCAAGGCCTGGATGAACGGAACGAGTTGCACCAGGAAGTCAGACCTGTGGCCTGTACTGTACACTGTAGCCATTCAAATTCCTTAGGGCCACAGCCCACGAAGAAGAACAAACCAAAAATTCCTGAATCTCATCTCATCTCATTCCACACTGTATATGGGTCAGAGGCAGCAGCCTTAGCAAGGCTAGCTACAACTCCTCCTGGCAGGAATACTCAGCACGGACACGTGAGTCATCTGTCTAGTCCTCAGTCTGCCCTGGGGTGGAACCCTGAGGTGGGTCCCCTGAAGGCTTCCTGTCCTGAGGCTTTAGACCACCTAATCTGTCTCCTCTTATGTGAAGGACAACTCGCTCTGTCTTCAACTACTAGAGTTCTCTGCTCCTCACTTTATTTCTAAGGCAATGACCAGCAGCCACTACTTATATTGTTGAGTTTTTATGATTTTATATCAGTTAGGAACTTTCAAAATGTTTCTCAAGCTCAAAGGAGCTGAGAGCAACTGCAGCCACCGTCATTTAATTAAAAAGAACCACATATGTGTTCTATGTTGAATATTAAAATAAACATATCATGAGTTCAGCACCCCTGGTCCAAATGATCACGTCTTCATGCCTACAGAGATTGAAGACTGCTTTATATGGATGAAGTTTAAATTGCAGCAGTTTGAATCAATCAAACGTTTTACTTCACTTGACAGGAGTCATTTTTCAAAACACACACGACATGTGTTCAGACCGTTTTTGGTTAAAATACCAAGCTTTATAGAAAGAATTTAATAATCACAGCACAGTATAGCTGATACTGAATGACAAGAACATTAGTACCTGTACGGCTGTCATATTTTATGAGAAATAGATGCAGACCTGCAATTATATAAGGGCACGTGTGTTGTTGCATGCCATGCTCTAATCCAGCCCTAACAACAACATTTTATCTCCCTCACAGAACACACTGCAGCTCAACTCACCTGACAATTTGAGGTTTGAGTTCATGGCCAACAGCATTGGCATCCCTCCTACCCCTGTTGTCACACCAGTGTCAGAAAACTTCAGCCTGGTAAGCAAATTGGGAGAGTTTTACAGAAATAAAAGTAAAATGAAAAAACTAATATTTTTTCCTTTTTTTCTTCTTTTTTTTTGTTTAAATAGAATACCAGTTTGAAAAACATGTCTGAGGGGCTCCATCAGTTCAGTGCCTTACTGAGCACCATCTCAGAGAGGCTGCAAAATAAGAACAAAGTGGTGGAATTAATGTCTGACATCAAGGATCTCACTATTCAAATCAATAAGGTAAGAAAACATCCTACAATCACCTAATACAGTAACATGTCAATAGAAAAAAACATCTGATGCAAATGTCTAATATAAACCTAATTAAAACGCCACTGAGGTTCTCTGATCATGGCACCGTCCCCACTCTCTGCTCCCCCTTAAAGCTGCCCACTGTTCACTTTGGTGATGGGATAAAAACAGAGGTCACATTTGGTTGTGTGCAGTGGTGAGCTGTGAACACAATGAGTTCACTTTCTTGACCTTCCTTTTTCATTATCACACTATAACAAAAAAGCAAGATAACACAGCAAGTTAGCCAGTTAGCATACTTTAAGAACTATGTCATTTATATTATCTGTCCTCATATAACAACAATTCATACAGCAAAACATTTACCGACATTTCAGAGTGGTAATGTTAATAACATTTTGACCAGCCTCAACACAATAGCACAGCTTAGCAGAGGTAGTGTAGCATACTAGCTAGTTAGCACTGGTCAAGATGGAACAGGACAACTATCAGCTTCTAGAGCTAGCTGAAATGTAAAGAACAACATTTCAAATGTAGAAAAATATACTAACATTTTAAGAGGAGGGTTTTCTGTGTTATTAGCAGTTTTATGAACTCACAACTGGATGAAGGTAGTGCCAAAAATGGCCGCCTTAACAAAGCTAGAGAAGAACATTTTTGGAGCTGCCTAAAATCAGCAATACACATCACAAAAAATCTTCCAAATTGTGACTTGGGAAAACCACTCAGATTTAATTACTTACTTGCACTTAAGTGCTAAAATATAAATAGAGTATTCTGATAAAAATGATCAGCCAATCAGCTCACCTAGCTGAGCATGATAACATATTATAAATCTTATTTTTAAACGAATGCATTGTTTTTACCTTCGCTCTGCAGATGCAGAAAATGCTTCACAGAGACTCTGTGGTGCAGTCAACACCAGCGCCAGTGTCTCTACATATTGATGGACATTACGAGGTTCAACTAGCAGCACATCTGACTCTGGTGAAGCTCCAGTCCTTTGGACAGGACATAGTGCGCTGCCTCAGGAGTCTGGACTGCAGTGAGGACGAAAACACGGAGAGCTGACCATCACACGCATTAGTGTGACTGCTTTTAGCTTGGCCCCCAGGTGTAGGGTTTGGGAGACACAGCAGTGCTGATGGCCTCACAACAGTATTTTTTTAACAAATAATTTATTTATGTTGTTTTTATACATTTCAGTTTTAAATTTTAGATAACATTTTATCTTAATATATCCTACATACAGCCATACATAATGTAACACTGAAAACATTGACATGTTCTCTGTAACACAGCAAAGTGAATTTATGGCAATATTTTCAACTACATGCATTGGTTAAAAGCCAGGAAAAGACACTCACTCATAAGTAACAACAGAAATATGAGGAGGGACAGGATGAATCGTACACATGTCCTGAAATGACTGATTCCAGGAGTTAATGTTGGGGCCTCAGGGTTCATGTGTGGTGGGAGTTTTTTATTTAATTTAATTTTTTTACTACTTTTACTAATTCTGTCATTTTGTTACGCATGTATTTATTTATTTGTTAAACTCATATTTATTTTTCTATCTGTCCATTATATATTTAAATATTTATGAAGATGAGCGATATATTTATTTAGGGAATTTATTTTTAATAACAATCAAGCTTTGTATCGTACTGTTAATTGTTAAATATTTTAACTTAAGACTTTGTGTGGCAGTTCATTCTAGTAACACCTAATGACCAAACTACAAACCATGTATAGATATTGTTCAGTAATGTTCTTCTGATTCCATAACAGCAGAAAATAATTTAGATATTTATGAACTTATTTTAAGACCTTTAGCATCAACCAGGTGTAACTACTAATTTTTTGGGACATATTTTGTACTCTTTGTTGCTCAATAAAAACTGCCTTTAAAAGCTTTAAAGACTTAAGCTTTTTTTTTATCATCATATCATTTACCAAATGTGTCCACAGCAGGATAGAAGCACTGATTCATGCTTTCATCATTGAGATTGCATTAATGCCATTCCCAAGTGGAGGCTGCTTGGTTTGGAAATGCAACCAAAAGTTGGATGATTCATTCTGACGACTGGATCACATGCTTCGTTTGTCACATGATTAGTAGTCCATTTATAGGCATCTCCTAGGTTATGTGGTCAGCTGATCATGAATAACCAGTCAGCTGATTACAAAATACAACGTAATCACAATGAAATCTACAAATATTGACCAATGAATCGATCTCCATTGAATGACAAGCAGAAACAGGCTGTTTCAGGTTGACATTTGGTCTGAATTTTATTTACAAAGTTAATAAAAGACCTTCTACAAACACAGTGGTAAAAAAAGGAGTTCCCAGAAAGAGGGTTAAAGACATTTTACAGCAAACAATGAAATGATCTTCTCAGGTACAAAAAAAACAAACAAACAAAAACTAGTTATGGCGTTTCATAAGGAACAATCCAGGGCCAACACCATGTTATTTTAATAGTGGAGAGAAATTTGAAGTGTCATATCTTCACAAGGCAGATATGGCTTTAGCAGCTACTCTCCTCCCAAGCGGCAGAGTCAGGTCAGTGATCGCCAGGACAACTTTTGGCTGGGCCAGAGCAGGCAGCTTGAGGAGCTCAGAAACCTGGCAGCACAAAAACACATAGCAATCACGGCACATGTTCTTAGTTCTTTCCTTCTACAAAAATATTGTAGGTTAGTAAAAAACAAGAAAAACAAAAAAAAAAGTCATTCATCTGTCAACGGCCCAGAACATTTGGAAGTCATTTGTATCAAGTCAATATAAGAAAAAAAGTTTCTTTCTTGAATTTGATTTCTAGTAATTTAGGTTTTTGCATTCATCCCAGCTCCTCTAACATTAGCCTGTGCATTTTGTATTACCTTTATGATTGAAGTTTCTCATTATTTTGAGAGATTCTCTTCGTATATTCTGTGTTGTGACATGGAGTTGGCGTTTTTGCCACGTACTTTGATCCTGTTTTTCAAGAGGGCGCTGACACATTACAAGTCCAGGCAACAATACTGCTCAAACATTGCAAATCAGTTCTAGTACTATATCAACACGAAGTGGTCACATTAGGTGCTGCAAGGGTGCATTCCAAATTATTGAAATCTCCTCCTGGACGTCCTGTTTTGTTTTTCTGTTCCTTCTCTAACCATCACATTCTGGGATCCCTCTACACTCACTGGAGACAACTTTGCTGCAAGATTGAAAAGTTTATGACTTTCCACCAGACTTGAAGGCAACATCAAAAGCATGTGAATCAGGTCATAACGTATCCTAAACTCTACAATTCAAAGCCTCATCCTACCTGATGTAGTTGACCTGTTGTTTACGTTACACTTTGATTTAATTTTTGTGTCCTGATCCTGCATTTAGGTGTTCATACATAGAAATACTGAATTGAAGAAAACCATGATCAGCTTTTTGCTTAATCCATGTAACAAAATCCAACACATCTGTTATTATTATTATGTTTTTTCAAAACAAAAATATGTGTGCCAAGAGAAGGATGTTTTTGATCAAGCGGCTATCCAACAGCCTCGTACGTCTCCTCTCCTCATATCTGGCCTCTGCTGGCAGATCATAACTCACCATAGTAAAAGGCATAAACTGGAGGATGCTTCCACGACTCCCCTGCTCCAGGCACTCGACGCACTCCTCCATAAAACTCTGCACAAACTGGGTGTGAGGCCCTGCCATCTTGGAGCCCAGGATGGAGGAGATGAGGAGGAATAGGTTCGCTGTGGGAACAGAAGGAAAGGTAATGTGCGGCATCACGGTCGAGTAGAAGGCAGGAGATCCACCCCATTCACATAAATACTTTTAAAATGAAATGTTTCACAAAGTTCATTTTTGTAAAACAGGTGTCAGAGACTTGATCTGCCAACAATGTGAGGAGTTGAAAGCCTAATAATAAGATGATTCAGGCTCTTGCACAACTGTAATTTTTGCAGGATTCTCAGTGGGCCTGCAGCAAATCAATAACACGTGTGCTGCACAGAAGAGCTCTGTTTTCAATTCTTCACCTTGAACACCACTGAAATTTCTGCAGGATCAATTGAATTAAATATAGACAAGTCAAAAATGCATTTTATGTCAAAAGTATTTACTCCCTAAATATACGCAATATCTGAGGTTTGTTATGTATTGGTTTCTATAGGGAGTCGGACATGGGTAATATATTCTAACATTTAACATTATAGTTTTTGGGATGATCCTAAGATTAGATTTGTCAACTTTTGGCATAATAGTAGCAATTCTGTAACTAACTTGTAACCAACTATCAGCAATTACTAGAAAAGGTCTTTTGCAGATTTAATATTTGGGTAATTAGCTTGTGGTTACTGCAATATTTGGTTTTTGTTCGCAGTTTTTTTTTTTTTTAATGTGTCGTTCCTTTTTGTGGTGTCATTTTTCAACAAAATTTCATGTTTCTATCTTTTAAGGAATCCCTGATTTGTATGTCAGTCATATTATCTATTAAAATCTTCTAGAAATCTATTTTTTAATTTAATAATTTTTGCTCCACATTAAACTACCTTTTAGCCATTGTTGCTCAAACATGAATCTGATTGAGTAAATATGTACTTCTTAAAAAATATCTTCCTTAACAGGATTTCAAACTTTTAAACTTTGTTTAAGTTCATTCACACTAAAATGCGTTTCAAACTTTCAAAATTTTCTTTGCCACCATTTTTGACACACGGTCCAAGAAAAGTTCTTACCCAGAACTCGGTTCAGAGGATCTCTCATGTTAACAGTATAAAGCTGGGAGGCCGACAGGGAAGTGCTAATAGATCTGTCTCCTGGGGAGGAACATGTATCAAGAAAAACAGAAAAAAAGGTCAAAGACTGACATTGAGTTATTGCTGAATGACTAGTTACTCTTCGGAGTGTCTTCTTGTGAAAGCGTGAGATACTTCCTTCCTGTTTCATCTGATGTAATTTTACTCATAAAAAACATTTTTACTTGGGTAGAAACAAAGTTAACCAAGGTTTCCTTATTGATATAATTCTCAGTTTCTGAATGACTCTTTCATCCCATGGAAAACTCAAAGCTCATACATTTCTAGAACGTCTAAGCTTAGAAAAAGCTAAAGTTGCTTATCAGTTTTTGTTTTGTTTTAAAGCCACAGATTAAATGTTACAGACACATGAGAGGGCCTAGAGGAATTCAGAAATAAGGTGTATCCAAAAAAGATGATTCCACCTGGTGATGGGAGTCATTTCAAATATCCCACGGGATTAAAACAGAAACTGAGACACTGTCTGTATCTGGTTAACCAACAGTATTGCTCAAATTTTTCAGATGAAAGCAACACATCCTCCTGCAGAATCAAGGAGTTCAACACATAAATTATACAGAGATAAAACATATTTTTACCTTGTGTATGACTTTCCTGGAAACTGTTGTATTTCCTAAGTTCAGGGCTCTGACTGTAACAGGTTTAATAAAAAGATTTAACCAGTTCATAGACTGACCTGGACTGGAGAGGGCGACGGGTTCATCCTCATTGGAGCTGAGCAGGCGCATGAGTTTCGACGGTTGAGTGTCATCCAAAGGGAAAAGGCTGTTGTAGTCCTGCGGTGATAATATTTACTTCATCTTAGGGCATCGTCAATGATGTCACTCTATTTCCATAATATTCATCCTGAGAGATTTTACCTCGATATCTTCTCGTTGCCTCTTGCGTTGACGTGCAGAGGAGGCACCTTTGTTGTGAAAGGAGTAAGAGCTGAGCGCGCACCACACTGCCAACCTGAGTTGTCGTATGGAGACAACGAAAGGTGGTGTTAAATAAGTCGTACGTGGTCACAATTATTACAAGTCATAAATAAAACCATGCCATTCTCTCTTACTTGGCCAAGGCCTTTCCTGGAGGGTCTGCCAGGCTGTTCCAGCGGGCGGTGTCAGTTAGCAGGTTTGGCAGAATCGTACCCAGCAGAGTGAGCGTGATCTGCTGAGTGTCCAAACAGAAGATGCTGTAAAGAATCTCCACCGCCCGATTGGCCCATTCTTGTCGAGTCTCCTTCAGCAGCTCCTGAAAAAGGATAAGATTGAAATTCTCCACTTAGACACTTTCACACACTTGAACTGATGATGACGAATTGTACAGTAGTGAAGTATGAGTAAAAGACAGAAAGGGAAATCCCACAAACTTAGGGCCCATGCGACAAAGATTCAAAACACAGAGATCTGGCAATTCCATAAAAAGAAACTAAATCAGAACCTTATGGTGCAAGTTCATCACTGGAATTGACTTGACATGGACACTGAACATGCATACCAAAAAAAACAAAAACTCTTAATTTAAAATATCATCTCAAAACAAATTTCCTGGAAATCTTTCTTGTAGACTTAACAAGTCTTTGTCAAAACAAGCACATTTTGTTGTTACTTTTGTCATACTCTTCCTACAGAAATTCAGGACTTCATCAGTGACTTTGGTAAAGCATATTTGTGTGGCGGTAAAATATTAATTACAGTATTTCCTGTCAATGACTTTTTTTTTTCGCAACCCTGAGTACAGGACAGGACAGGAGTACAAGTCAAAAAAAAACCTGGCAAGTCCAGACACATTCGGGCAAGTCAGGGCCAAATCGAACATTAGTTCCTCACCCTCCTCACCACAGTGGCCAAATCAGGTTGCTACAAATGTGATTCACATTGTTTCGAAACTCCTTTCTCAGTGTGTTCAGACAAGTCCAGACTAGTCGTGTTAGAACAGTTGTCCTGATGGGACAAGTACAGAGACTCCTCTACGCAAATATTGCAAAATAATTCCTGTTGCACATCTGCTTTTGTAATCTTTTTTTTTAATCAAAGACTTTATATCTTCTTCTATTAAACCTATAACATTTTCAGTGGTCCAGGTAATGAAACCTACTTTGACTAGATTGTTGGTGAACCAGAAAACGCCTCCCATGTTGAGGAGACTCTCAAACAGATGCAATGCACGACTATCCACCCAGCCTTTGCGTAGCACAACCTGGAACTGTGTGCTGAGTGCCTTGTGGATGGGCTCTTTGGCGGGCAGCAGATTGCGATAGGGAATAGGCTCCTGGCCCTCCACCGGAGGTCGCAGGGTCGTGGCTGTTTGTTGGAAGACATCGGCGCACATGTGCTCCATGATGGAACTCATGATGATAACGCTGGTGAAAAGAGAGAATGTGAGAAAGATGGATTCAGCAAAGCTCATGGACGGAGGTTACAAACACAGTGTGTTGGTGTTTTGTTTTGTGTACCGTTCGTTGTAAAACTGCAGGGTGTTTTCTCCATAAAGTGGAGTCACCAGCTGCCTGATCATAGTCTGAGGTTTCTCCCTCTCATCCCTCCCCAGCACTCTAACGTGGGCCACTAACCAGGCCACAGCACAAATGGCCATACTGCAGACCTTTCCCTTGATGTTGTCTGTGATCTTCTGCAAAAGAAGAGAAAGGCGGATACTAGCAGTGAGAAAAAAAGAGGAAGGAAGGCCTGATGGCACAATGGAAAATAGTGTGATTGGCAAACGTAAACAATTAAGAGAGAAAATGAGGGAAAATAGTGTGATTGGCAAACGTAAAAAACAATTAAGAGAGAAAATGACAGTCACTGTTGCTGTAAGGCTGTCATTTCCACAGAAAAAAACATGGTCATTTGACCCATGAGCAATTCAGGCGTCACGGAAAGGGAGACAAGTGATGTTAGATGAACAGCCGATTATCAGAAACCCTCTGAATATTTTCCCTTTTAGTAGGAATTAAAAAAAAAAGACAACACCTACCTGTACCGCCTCCACCGACAACACTCCATTCTCCCACGCATTAAGAACTTCCAGGATGGCTGCTGGGATGCTGAGGCAGATTTCATGCCATTTCACCTGACTGTTACCACAGAAAGGGGGAAAAAAAAAAAAAAAATCAACCAAAACGGAAAGAATGACACGTAACGCTAAAGGCATTTCCTTTACCTATGTGTGGTTTATGTCAAGACTTCAACAGAAAACTTTAAAATTACACTTATGATACATAATTAGGGTTAAGCAGAATGACCTGTAGAATCAGATTACGGTCCATTTTTTTTTATGTATTGGTGTAGTTTACAGCTACTGCATCACAGATGTAAGCTTATTACTAGGGATGTTCGATAATAACTTTTTGCCGATATCTGATATCGTCCCAACAACTAATTTTCTGATATTAATTGATACCATGGGGCACAGGTGGTCTTGTGGTTAAGGAAGTCAAGTGTCACCTGCTCACTAAGTTGATGGGTTAAAGCCATGCTCACCTAGGGCATTCAACTATTTTTAGAGCACACATCATTTTGCGAACCCCAGGCTTTGTTATTAGGTTTTCAGCATCAAAGAAAAAAACAAAACAACTTTCTTATCATCGTGGGGTGTATCAAGGACAACAATGAGGTAGGATTACAGGCATCTGCAGCTCAACACCTCCAAGACCAAGGAGCTGGTCATAGACTTTGGGAAATACAAACAAAAACTCCAACCAGTTCTTATCGAGGGTCAGGAGGTGGAGGTCGTGGAGACCTATAAATACCTTGGGCTGTGGTTGGACAACAAGCTGGACTGGGCACACAACAGTAGGCAGCTGTACAAGAAGGCCCAGAGTAGGCTATGTCCTGCAGAGGCTCAGGTCTTTCAACATCTGCAGGAAACTCCTGAAAATGTTTTACCAGTCTGTAGTTGCCAGTGTTATTTCGTAGGCTGTGGTGTGCTGGGGGAGCAGCACACCACTTACACAGATCCAACCAGGACCCTCGGGTGACAGTGGCAGAGAAGAGAACACTTGGCAAACTGCTCGCCATCTTGAACAATGCCACTCATCCTATGCACCCTGTCATCAGCAATCAGACGAGTCTGTTCAGTGACAGGATGCTCCTTCCAAAGAGCAGGACCAATAGACTTAAAAACGAATTTTTCCACTGGGCAATTAAACTGTTTAACTCTTCACTGGTTGGGAGGAGGGCTAACAAACGACTGGTGGATAGGGGAGTAAGGGGCAATAACCCAACAATTATTTCAGTGAAATAACCACAAACTCCAATTACATTAGTATTATATTTCAATAAACCAGTGTATTTCTATTTTATACTCTATTATAAGTATATGTTTATGTATACGTATATATATGCTCACACAATGCTAATATATGTGTATGTCTGTACATGAGTATGCATATTTAAATGTATGTCTATATGTATGTATGTGTGTGTGTGTGCGGGCATATGTATATGTACATATATGTATGTATATGGTTATATATTTATAATCTATATACTGTGTATAAATATATTACTAATATCTATACATATAACATATATATGGTAGCTCTTAGTAATAATGGTTGTATAAATCTGGTTGACATACACATAAACTATTATATACCTGTTCAATAGGTATATATACCTTATATATATATATATATATACACACACACACACACCATTGTTTTACATATATATGTGGATATATATATATATATATATATATATATATAACAATGGTATAATTGAAATATAATAAATAATAATTGAGATTGCCATCAACAACACACCAACAACACCATACACGCAACAATAATTACCTACTAATCTACATCCACTGTTCAGGTTTCCCCATTTTCATTGACAGAGTGCTGCTACTCATGTTTGTATTTTATTGTATTTCACCTATTTGTGTGTTTTTACTGTTATTTTGGTGCTATATTGCTGCTGCTGGAGCCTAAATTTCCCAAAGGGAACTCCTGAGGGATTAATAAAGTACTATCTATCTATCTATACTGTCTTGGTTAAATATTCAACAATCCTTCTTTAAAGAGCCTTCATTACAGAAGACATTCAGCAAACC